TGAAGATAATATTCATTTCCTCAACTCATTATGAAACAGTGATGAATCCTTAATTTAAAAAAAAAACAACAACAAATGTCTGAAAATATTTAAGTTACTAAACAATGTCTATTTACAAATACAGTTAATAAAAATACAACAGAATTTATGCATCAAATCAAAATCTAGTACGTTTAATATTTTGTATAATAATGTGTTCAAACATAGCGTAATATTTTATAGTAGAAAAATAGTTTAAGTTACAATTTAAAAGCAGCTGAATTCAGGTTAGTCGATCTTTCGAACAGCAGGTGGCACTGTGAATGTCTGAAAGTGCAGGTCTAGCCGTCTGAGTGAGCAATTCTGAGCGTGCGCTTGGGTCTCCGGGCCTGCAGCTTCATAATGTTGCGCTAAGGAGGGGTTTGGGAACAAATGAATCACTGGACGATTCATACGAGAGTCGCTGGGATAATTAGGTAAAAATAAATGCAGATTATAAGACCATGAAAGTGTTTTTTGACCTTGCATGCATATTAGACTGTTGTTGGAGACCCTACAACCAAGACATGACCCTATTTTTATGTATAAAATGGGCTCTTTAACATTCTTCCCGCCTGTCATTTGCTTCAGGTTACGTTAAGTGATAATTTGGCATTTAAAGTGATTTTACTAAAATGTTCATCATTATATGTAAAAGTTAGGACTCATTGAGTGATTAGTTATTCATTTAATTAAGAAATGCCTCGAGTTGTATATTGTTTTCTTCTTTGAACGTGGTGTTTATGTAACGTTAGCGCTCCAACAGTTTGCTGTTTAAATTAACGTTAACATTAAAGTTATTGCCAATTTCCAATGACCACAAAATACGGTTAATTTATTGTATATAAATATCAATTTGTGAAAATGTTCAGTCACGTTTCAGTGTGGTTTAGTAAGGTTTAAAATAAAAGCAGTCCCATTAGGCCTAACATGATAGTGGAAGTAGTTTGGTTTTTTTAAAGATTAACCTATGTTGGCTGTTTTGATAGTTTTAACAGTTAAAAGTTCACACAAAAATGTAGTTGTCATCAATTACTCTTCCTTTATTTGTTTTATTTATTTCTTCTGTTGAACAAAAAATTATATATTTTGAAGAAACATGTGACAATTGACTTCAGTAGTATTTGATTTTCCTACTATGTAAGTCAATGGTTACAGGTTCAAAGCTTTCTTCAAAATATCATCTTTTGTGTAGCTCTGGAAAGAAACTCGTAAAGTTTTGGAACTATGTGAACTTTATTACACATTCAGCTATAACAATGCTAATGTGAAACACAAAGGCAATGCCTCATAAGTGTTTAGGAAAATGGGAAAAATGAAAAATTTAAAAAATAAGTCAAGTGGAGGCCAGAAGACAATGACCTAGTAACTAGTGCTTGGGTTAATGTTCACAAAACTGAACACTTTAAATTTGCAGAAAATCTTAAACTGATTTTAAACTTAACTGGGAGAATCATTAACAATTTATTGCAATTATTTGAATACTATATATAATAGAAAATATATAACATTTGAATAAATATTTAAAATGTAATAGATTACATGTATTTAGTTTAACCACACAGTTTAGCATTTTGATTTGTATTGCAATTTTGCGGCTGTACCTCCAGGTTGTATTGCTGATCATATTATTTTAATTATTTTTCACTGCAGGTGCTGTCAGACAGAATCCTCTCACTCTCGTCATTGAATGTAAAACATAAATATTTCTGTGAAATTCAGTCTACAAAATGTCCAGTATCTAAAGAACTTTCCACTGCTTTTAACTCGACTAGCAGCTTGTTCAAGCACTTGAACAGGAAGCATTGTAGGATAATACTCATCACCAAGGACACTGGCACCCAGAAACACGACAGCCCAACTTAACATTAACAGGCTAAATTGGATTTTTGTGCAGGATTGGGAGTGAAGTTAACTTCTGAATATGTAGAGAAGTGTAGCTGCTTATGCCGTTCACATATCTCATCTTTAGTGCGCTGGATGGCATTGGTATTGCATATTGTGTGCGCTCACATTTCCCAAGTTCACCAAGTTAAAAACCACGAGTCACATGCAAGAACTGGATGAGCTTCAGGCTTTGTGTGGATTCTATATTTCTGTAGTCTAATTACCTCAGACAAACTCAGAACCCCCAAACACGGCAGTGTTTTTTCATACTATAGGTGACGGTGGTTACAGGTATTCAGTTTTTTTCTATTGTGTTAAAAAAAAGAAAAAAGACAAACAGGTTTGGAAGAAGTGAATGATGAGAGAATTTTAAGTTTTAAGTTATAGCATGTTTTTTTTTTTTTTTTTTTTTAAAGAAAATTATTCTGTTTATCAAGTCGGCATTAAAAAAATGTAAAAAGAAAATTGTTTAATATTTATTGAAATTGTAAAATAATTGCTTTCTTATTGAATGTAGTGTCAAATGAAATGATGACTCCAGTCATAACTGCTTTTATTATTAGTAACATTATTAATAATAATAATTAATATTAGAGTGATTTCTGAATGATCGTGTGACTGGAGTAATGAAGCTAAAAAAATCTACATTAAAATTACTGGAATAAATGATTAAATTAAATGACTAACTACTTTTGAACAGTTATTTTACAGTGCAATAATATTTCTTAATTTTACAATGTGTTCTGTATTTTTGATGAAATAAATGCAGCCTCGTTGAGCTGGAGAAGCTGATTTTAAAACGCATAAGAAGCTGACAGACCCGAAAACTTTGACCAGTAGTGTGTGTTGAATTTTTTTGTTTGTATTATATCATCTTTGCATCAAATATATGATATTTATATTTATCTAACAATTATTTATATTTTGTATTTTTTACTTTGTATGTTGTAAAAATGTTTTCTAAGTCTTTATTTGTCCGCATTTTGTTCAATAATTGTTTTATCTATTTGCATTGATAAAAGTAAATTTGATTGTAATTTTTGTTGTGTGATTTACTCAGTTTATAAATGGGGTTAGCCACATGTGGGCCACATAAGGGCATAACAGAACTCAGCCTTACTAATCTTGAATACAAGGCCCATATCTGGGCCACATAAAAAATGTATTACTTGGCTCAAGCTTGGTGGAGTTGTGGCACTACTTTGGTTTAGTTCTGGCTAAAAAGATGTGGGCCAGTTCTAGGCTGGGGAACACTAACTGATCTGGGCCACATCTTAGCTGTTGATTTGGGCCAGATCAGGGCCAAAGGAAATTTGTTGACTGGTCTTTATATACTTAATTACTTATTTTTTTGTGTATTTTGATGGACATATATTTTAAATATACTGGGTGGCAGTATTTTTTTGGTGATAGCTATTAAATTTTTTTTTTTTTTTTTTTTTACACTTTAATTAATTGATTGATTTTTTTTTGACCGTCTGCAGTCATTTTTTATTGCAATTTTTAATATAAGAAGAAAAAAATTATTCAAAAAACTAAATTGAAGGCTTTAAAATAATTTACAGTTCTTTTTGCTTTGATATTTTTTGTTTCTTTTATCGTGCATAGGTAATGACATTTCTATTTTAAAGTGAGTAAAATTAGTTTTTTTAACAGGCCAATTACATTTATGAATAACAAAATTTCCATAAATAAATAGCAAATTAACAATATGCCAAATTTTAAAGTCGACTAGTGTTATAAAAAAAAACATCTTTTTCTTTAAATTCCAAGGCAATATTCGTTTTCTGCTTAACAAAAAAGAAAAGATCACACCAAAACAATTGTGCATAAAATAAATAAACAATACTCTCTTCTTTATCGTTACAGAAAGTACATTTTAAATCAATAGCTTACAAAATCTAGCAATTACCTGTTTTACAGGATAAATACGATGAACAGTTTTAAATGATACCTCTCTAATTTTATTCGTTATACAAAAACGTATGGAATTCTTAAAAGTCTCGTTCCAGTTAACATCTTGAAATTGTGAACTCAATAGCTGAAGGAACGCTGAAAATCCGGCAAATGATTCTAAGATAATTATTATTACATTATTTTTTTCTTTTATATACCTTCCAATTTAAGAGTAAAATCTAAATGTGTTTTGAATTTTATCATTTACTAATACTTTCTTAATCTCTGAAGGAATACCTTAATTGCCATATACTCATTAACAGGTATATAAAGATAATTCTTTTTCTATAAACTTTAAATAAGTTAGCACATGACCATTATACTATTTAAAAGTTGTGAAACCAGCAAAATATCATTTCTAAACCAATTAATAATATTTTATTAGTATTAGTAGTAGTACTACTAATATATACTGCCACCCAGTGTATTTAAAATAAATATATATCCGTTGTTTTCCCAAAGAAGAAAAAAAAGAAGAAGTTGTCGTCTACGATATCATTCCTCTCGGCTTGCCGTATGACAGAAGAGTCAGCTGAGCTCAATGTGTTTGCGGAAGTTTCATTTCACAACCGAGTTTAGATTCAACAGCTCGGGCAATCACCGGTTTTACTGCACTCAGACAAGTCTTAAACAGCGACCATGGATGTAAATTCTGAACCTGTAAAGAAAGTTCTCTCCAAGGTAAGTTATTTAGTGTTTTGTTTATGCTAGAAATCTTAAATAACTCACGAAAATGGATTATGGACACTGGTTAAACCTGTTTAAAAAGTGTATTCAGCTGTCTTGAACTTGTATTATTTTATTATATCGTGCTAATTGTTTTCTTACAGTATAAGTTTCGTGATGTTGCTGTTGAAGAGTTACAAAAAGTTTATCGTGTCTACCCTGATATGAAAATAATGGCTGGAACATATAGTAAGTAGAAATACAATACAATACAATCGAGTAACGTAATGTGAACTGACTTGCATTTATCAGTTTCAAACTTTCCTTCTCTCTCTCTCTCTCTCTCTCTCTCTCTCTCTCTCTCTCTCTCTCTCTCTCTCACGTGGTGTGCGTTTGGGTGAACGGGAGCTGAGCGTCTTTTGGAGAGCGTGGCTTTTCTTACCTTTTTTTTCCCCCTTTAATTAATTTATTTTTCCCCCCCGTTTTCTTTGTAGTTTATGTTTGTTATTTTTGTACCTAAATAACGTTTAAACAACATTAAACGCCGCAATGGCGGCTGATCCCGAGCAAGGGACGCCCTCACTGTCACTCAGAAACGGTTGCAGGTGTGTACCAGAGCCGGGGGTGACAGTGGAGGAGCTGCTTTTGATCTTTGGAGAACAGGTAGGCTTTGAGAATATTCTCTCGGCCTCCCGCATGAACAAAGCTGTTGTTGTATTCCTTAAATCGGAATCTTTAGTTAATCAGCTGATTGTGAGTGGAATATGGGTGAAAGAAACGTTTGTAAGGGTAAACCCGCTGTCCACTCCTGCAACAAAAATCACGATCTCGAATGTTCCGCCTTTTATTTCAGATGAAATGATTACGAAAGAGTTGCAAAGGTTTGGGAAAATTGCAGGCCCTGTTAGAACGATCCCCCTTGGGTGTAAGAATGTCGCTTTAAAACATGTTCTCTCGTTTAGACGTCAAGTTTACATGTTTTTGAATTCACCGGACCGTACATTAGACGCGTCTTTTCGCGTAAATCATGGGGATAATTCCTACATGGTTTTCGCTAGTACTGAAAGCATGAAGTGCTTTCAGTGCGGAGTTTTTGGGCACAAACGTTTTTTTTGTCCAAATAAGGATGAAAAACAAACAACTGATACAAATACCGGGACAAATGACACGGAAATACAAACAGGAGATAAACAGACACAGGGAGGTGGCGAGCAAAGGGAAGAAGAACAGCAAGAGGTGAGTGAAACTTCAGTTATAGTTTCCAGCGTAGAACAACCTGGTTGTAGTAACCCTGCAGAGTCTGTTGATGTTAGTGAGGCTGCTGAGAATAATGATACAACTGATTGCATGGCAGAAGAATGTGAAATCTCACAAGCTGAAAGTGTAGGGGACAGTATGATTGATGAGTTGGATGGTTTGTCACAATGTATGGATGATAGTATAAGAGATGAGGAACAGTGGTCAGATGCTGCAGCGGAAAATGATAATGGCTTGTATACTGTTGAACAAATTAATTCCTTCTTAGACAAAACTAAAGGAAAAGTGGGTGTTGAAGTTAGTGATTATTTCCCTGATACAGAAAAATTTATTTCTTCTGTTATGCGGGCCAGAAAAGTGAGCAGCCTGGAAGTGCTGTCACAACAGAAACGGTTTCGATTAAGAAAACATATCACTAATATAAGAAGTGGAAAGAAGCCAGGGAAAGTGAGGGGGAAAACTAAATACTAAATGAAGGTGTTTCTTTCTCTTTGCTATCTGTTCTTTCCTCTCTTTTTTCCCTTATGCATGGAAGTCTTGAGAGTGGGATCAGTTAATGTAAATGGAATGAGAGATGGGGAAAAAAGGAGTCACCTTGCAGAAATAATTAAGTTGAAAGAGTTGAGTGTGGTGATGCTACAAGAAACTCATAGTTGTATGGATAATGAGGTTGATTGGGGATTATGGTGGAAAGGGGAGAAAATCCTTAGTCATGGAACTAATCTAAGTGCTGGAGTGGCTGTACTTTTTTCCCCCACATTAAAAGTAAAAGTCCTGTCAAAAAAGGAAGAAATTCCTGGCAGGTTATTGGTTATAAGAGCTGAAATAATGGGTTTCTTCTTCTTTTTTGTAAATGTTTATGCCCCTAATGGAGGAGCAGACAGGATACAGTTCTTCACTAAATTAGAGCACATATTTAAACAACAACACGAGGGTGACATTGCTATATTAGGGGGAGATTGGAATTGCACATTAAATTTTATTCAGGACAGAAATGGAGAAGAACCTCATTTACAATCAGCTGCGTTTTTAGAAAATATAATAAAAAATTTTTGCTTTTCTGATGTTTGGAGAGAACATAACCCATTAGAGAAACAATATACTTGGATAAAAATTTGTAATAGAAAAGTGTCTGGAGCTCGATTAGATAGATTTTATATTTCACATACTGGAAGAAACAAGGTTGCCAATGCATCAATTATCCCTATATGTTTTTCAGATCATAAATTAATAACAGTTGACTGTATGCTGGTAGAGAGAAAACATAAGAGTTATTACTGGCATTTTAATGTCAAACTTCTTGAAGATAAAAATTTTTGCCAGAATTTTAAAGTTTTTTGGGAGACCTGGAAAATGGAAAAATCTTGTTTTGAAAATATTATTGAATGGTGGGAAGTGGGGAAAGCTCATGTCCGTAGTTTTTGTCAGCAATATACATCTCATTCCTCATTGGTTTTAAAGAAAACTTTGGAGTGGTTAGAAAATGAAATCATTGACATTGAAAAGAGCATGAATGAAAATGATACCCTGACTCTTCAAGATAGATGGACTGAGAAAAAGAAGAAGTTGAGTTCATTTTTAAATGAAAAGGTTAAAGGAGCCCTGATAAGAAGTCGTTTTTTAAAAATAAGAGATATGGATGGACCTTCTTCTTTTTTTTTTAGTTTAGAACGAAAAACGGGACAAGAAAAACTGATGCATTTTTTAAAAGATAATAATGGACACAACACTTCAGACCCAATAACAATGCGCAGACTTGCTGTAAATTTTTATTCTGATTTATATGCCTCTGAACCTTCTAATGAGGAATGCAGGAGACTTCTTTTGGAGGATCTCCCAGTTTTAACTCCAGAACTTAAACTTTTGCTTGAGGCTGATATTACTTTTGAGGAAGTCACTGCTGCAGTTATGGGGCTTTCCACAGGACGAACACCAGGGTTGGATGGACTGCCTGCTGAATTTTATAAGGCATTCTGGGCTGAATTAGGAAAAGATGTATTTGAAGTACTACAAGAATGTGTTTGCAAAGGTGTTCTACCTTTGAGTTGTCAGAGAGCTGTTTTAACATTGCTCCCAAAAAAAGGTGACTTAACTCTTTTAAAAAATTGGAGACCTGTTGCAATCTTAAGTTCGGATTACAAAATCTTTTCAAAATGTTTGTCAAATAGATTAAATCTTGCCTTAAATACAATTATACATAAAGATCAGTCATATTGTATAATGAAAAGATCTATTACAGATAATCTGCATTTGATTCGGGATGCTTATGATGTTGTTTCATACAATGAGTTAGATCTGGGTTTTTTGTCAATAGATCAAGAAAAGGCCTTTGACAGAGTTGACCACACTTTCCTTTTTGACACCTTAAGAGCTTTTGGATTTGGTGATGGTTTTATTTCAAAAATAGAACTGTTGTATAAAGGAGCAACATGCATGATTAAAGTTGCTGGAGGTTTAAGTGTTCCTGTAAAGGTGCAAAGAGGAATAAGACAGGGGTGTCCTCTCTCTGGCCAGCTCTACAGCCTGGTCATTGAGCCATTGCTCTGCAAACTAAGAGAAAAATTGACAGGACTGGAAATTAAAACGTTAGATTTTAAATCTACTGTTAAACTTTCTGCATATGCAGATGATGTCACAGTTTTAATCAGAAATAATGAGGATGTTCGGGTTTTAAAGGAAGTTTTGGAGTGCTATAGTAAAGCATCGTCAGCCAATGTTAATTGGGAAAAAAGTGATGCCTTATGGTGTGGGCGAGATTTTAATAGTCCTATACTACCTTGTGGTTTAAAGTGGGGAAAAGAAGGTTTTAAATATTTAGGAGTATTTTTAGGAACTGATGAATATAAGAAAAAGAATTGGGAGGGCTTAAAAGAAAAAGTGTGTGCTCGTTTGTGTCACTGGAAATGGCTAATACCCCAGTTGTCCTACAGAGGGAGAGTGTTGGTCTGCAATAACCTAGTCGCATCTTCATTGTGGCACAAAATGATGATATTGGACCCCCCAGAGGACATGGTGAAGATAATTCAACAGCTTCTGGTAGATTTCTTTTGGACGGGACAACACTGGTTGAAGGCAGCTACCCTGTATTTACCCCTACAGGAAGGAGGACAAGGTTTGGTGGATATAATGTCTAGAGTAAAAGCTTTTCGACTACAAACAACCCAAAGACTTTTGTATGGAGAAAATGTAAGCTGGGCCGGAGTAGCCTGTGCTATCCTGAGAAGAGCAGGACAAATGGGTCTAGACCGCCACTTGTTTTTAATGGATACTAATAAATTAGACCTGTCTGGACTGACACCTTTTTACAGGTCAATGTTGAGGTCATGGACTCTTTTTAGGTTCTCTAGAGAGCACAATGGTGTAAAAAGGCTGTGGTCAAGAGAAGAACCCCTACTTTACAATCCTGCTCTTGATCTGGACATTCTTAATTCACTTGCTCTAAGAAAAGCTTTGAAGACTGCAAATATATTTAAAATTGGACACTTTGTTTCTGAGAATGGCTGGATTACTGCCGAGGATCTAGCATCCAAACTGGGAATGAGATCTGTTCGGGCAACAGGAAAATTGTTGACTCAGATAGTCAAGTCATTACCATCGGATTACATTTTGTCATTAGTAACCAACAATGGAGAGAATACAATTCCTGCATTCCCAGAGCTGGTTATATCAGCCAACACAAGAACTTGGTCAGAAACAGAAAACAGTTTATTATCGTTCAAAACACCAGAACCAAGACTTTTTAGCATTGCTGGAAAGAAATCAATCTATGTGATGTGTGTTAAAACCTCAAACTTGTTTCAACTACAGAGTGTGAAAGAGACCAAATGGAAAGAGACAATTGGACCAAATGCCTCCCCAAAAGGCTGTTGGAGATCTCTATATAAGCCTCCAATTGAAAAAAGAACTGGAGACTTGCAGTGGAGGATTGTACACTGTATTGTTGCTACAAACTGTTATAGAGCGCGCCTTGATCCTCAGATAGGGGAGGGCTGTCCTTTTTGTGGAGAACCAGAAACTGTTTTCCATTTATTCCTTAATTGTAAAAGACTACAACCAATATTTTATCAGCTAGAAGAATGGTGTCAAAACCTTGGAGAGGCCTTTACACCTGCAATGTTTATTTATGGACCTAAATACAATAAAAATCGAAGAGAGCATCATGTTCTATTAAACTTTTTATTCGGGCAAGCAAAGATGGCAATTTGGCTGTCAAGAAAAAGTAAATTAAATGACAAAGGTTCAACTGATGCTTTTTTAATTTTAAAAGGACTAATAAAATCTCGCATTAATGTTGAGTATGGGTTTTACAAAATGGTAAATGATCTGGCAATGTTTAATTACAAATGGGGTGTAAATCAGTGTATCTGTCATGCTGACTCTGAAAATGTTCTAAATATTTATTTGTAAGTATCAGAAAAAAAAGAAAAAAAAATGTTTTTTTTGTTTTTTTTTAAGATGTCATGTACTTTTTAACTAGCTAAATTGTTTTTAGCTAAAAATGTTTTTGTAATAAAGAGACCTTAAAAGTCAAAAGTCTCTCTCTCTCTCTCTCTCTCTCTCTCTCTCTCTCTCTCTCTCTCTCTCTCTCTATATATATATATATATATATATATATATATATATATATATACACACACACACACACACACAGTTGAAGTCAGAATTATTATTATTATCACTTTTTGATTTTTTTTTTCGTTTTTAAAATATTTTCTAAATTATGTTTAAAAAGGACATTTTCACAGTATGTCAGATGATATTTTTCTTCTGAGGAAAGTCTTATTTGTTTTATTTCAACTAGAATAAAAGCAGTTTTAAACTTTTTAAATGACATTTTAGGGACAAAAAGATTTGCCCTTTTATGCTAATATTTTTCCGATAGTCTACAGAACAAACCATTGTTATACAATAACTTACCTAATTACCCTAACCTACCTAATTAACCTAGTGAAGCCTTTAAATCTCACTTTAAGCTATATAGAAGTGTCTTGAAAAAGATCTAGTAAAATATTATTTACTGTCATCATGGCAAAGATAAAACAAATCAGTTATTAGAATTAAGTTAGTAAAACTATTATGTTTTGAGAAATGTGTTGAAAAAATCTTCTCTTAGTTGGGGAAAAATTAAACAGGGGAGCGAATAATTCAATCTATATATATATATCTATCTATATAAATAATACAGACATAGATACAACTTTTTTAAATAAATAATTTTGTATTAAAAATAGTTTAGTTTAAATTAGGCATAGGGCGATGACCTGTTTTAAGGTATACCATGGTTTCGAAAAGTCAAGTTAATTTTCTGTTAAACCGTTCCTAAGGTATTTGTATGTTTTTTTTGTTTTTTTTTATGACTATTTTGAGTTTTTTAGTGCAACAATAGAAAATCACCCCCACATCACAAGTTACTGGTCAGTGCATGATTGATTCAGGAAACATCTGAAAAACAAATCTCGTATAAACCAAAATCCAGCAGGCTGTAGAGCTAAATAGTGCAGAGGCTTGCTTTATATACAAAGAAAAGAAAGATATCCAAAGATGCCTCTTCAAGTCGAAAATAAATCTGTGTTTTTGAAACTAATTAATACAGCAGAAGTCCATTACTTATGTAAATGATTTAGCGTAACAATTACGGTTTAAAAATATTTTTAATGCTTGTAAAAAAAAAAAAAAAATATATATATATATATATATATTTATATATATATATATATATATATATCATGTTCAATGGGGGAAAAAGTTGTTTTTTATCTAGATGTTAAAAAAGAGCATATTTTTATAGTAGTAAATACAATCCCAATATATTATATATCTACTTACTCCTAATTTATAAAGACGTTCCAAAAGAAGGTTAGGTTGAACAGTATTGAAAGCAGCTGAAAAATCCATAAAGAGTATTCTAACGTACAAATTTGGCCCATTTAGATGATGTCGAACTTTATTTATGAAAGTAAGAGAAGCATCCACAGTGCTCTGGTCGGCACTATAGGCAAACTGCAAGGGATCCACTGTCCTCTAAACTTAAGAGGACAATTTCTTACACACTATGCATTCCATACTAGGGAAAAAATGACAATTTATCACATAATGAGTCTTTAGTCCTGTATTTTAAAAGTTATATTTTAATTCCTTGGTTTATGCATCTTATTTGTGATCGTTTGATTCTACTGAGTTACTGTCGAAACATATTTTACAGCCTCAAGTGACAGTTTGCAGAAGGATCTGCTCAAACTAGTTGGAAACATCCCGGTCGTATATCAAGGTGAGACGCCATAAAATTACATCTCTTGTTTATTAGAATAAGTCACATGTTAGAAATACACTAGTATATAATAATTACTCATGAGACCCTTATTTATGTAGATTTAAGTGTGTTGTTTAATCATAATGTGTTTTTAGGGCGCTCTTATAACATTCCCATCCTGCTTTGGCTTTTGGATTCCTTTCCTTTCACGCCTCCAATCTGCTACCTGAGACCTACCTCCAGCATGGTCATCCGAGAGGGTAAACATGTTGATTCGAAGGGCAGAATACACCTGCCAGCCCTGCACAACTGGGACCATGTAAGACAACTTTAAATAAATTGGACTTAACATTTACATTTTTTCGATTTAACAGACATGTTTTAATCCAAGCAGTTTAAAAGTGACACTTTTTGTTTTCAATGAATTGTTTACCTTTACCTTACCTGTTTACCTTACAATTATGTTATTTTAATTAAGTTACTTTTTCATACACTAATAAATTTGAGGTGTTTTTTTTTTTTTAAAGATTTAAAAAAAAATGTGCGTCTATAAATTTATTAAAGTATTGAATGGAAGTTTCAACAGCTATTATTAGTTCAGTCTCCAGTGTTGTGTGATCCTTCTGAAATGATCAGTAATATTGCTGTGTATTCAAAATAGAATTAGTATGTCCCAAACCGTATTATATTGTTGTCAAAAATGTTGATATTTTGCCAAGTATCAATACTGTAATATTTAAAACGACATGATTCCTGGCAGCATCACAAATGGTACTGAATATTTTTTATGTATCATTATATTATATAATAATTATATAATAATAATAATAATAATAATAATAATAATAATAATTGTTATTATTATTATTATTTTTTTATATATTATATTATATTATATTATATTATATTATATTATATTATATTATATTATATTATATTATTTTTTATTATATATTATATTATATTATATTATTGCACTACATATACTACATGTCCCAACCTGTAGTATAGTGTTGTCAAACATATTAATATTTCAATACTGTAAGTATAATTATCAATACTAGAATATTTAAAACAATATGACTCCTCACAGCATCGAAAATAGTATCAAATATCAATATTTTTCTGCCTATTTATTTTATAATAACATTATGGCTATATTATTATATAATATTATGTTATTATTACTATTATTGTTATTATATTATTGCATAATATATTCTGTGTATTTGAAAATAGAATTAATTTCAGTAAGTATCAATACTAGGATATTTAAAATGATACGATTCCTTGCAGCATCGAAAATGGTAGTGAATATCATTATTTTTACTCTGTATTGTCTTGAAGTTAGAAATTCCAGTATCGTGACAACACTACCGTAATATGTTGAAAGTAGTATGCCAAAGCTTCCCAGGTGGTCTATTATTTCCAGTAGAAAATAGGTTAGATAATAATTAATATTCATATCAATTTAATGTTACATGAAAAAGCTTTCTTGCATGTCTGTTTATGAACTTGAACATGTAGTTGAACAGCATGTTTTACAGTAAAATAAAAAAAATATTCTGTTCATTTTCATGCAATTCTGATTTTCTTTTTAAAAAAGTCTTTAAATAAAATAAAAAAGATAAATATAAACTTTTTTTAAATGTTTGAATATCTTATATACGAGTGTGCCTCACATAGATGAGTGGGCTTGACAAACCACCTGTAGAAAACACACACTTTTATCTCTCTGACACTTTTACAAATTATTTCATATCTGTAAAAAATAATAAATACATTTTTGTGCATTTATGAAGTGTACCTCAAGCAGGTGAGTGGGCTTGACAAACCACCTGTAGAAACACTCTTCTCTCCTTACTCTGCAAACAGTAAAAAATGCATAATTAGCATTTCTTTTGTGTATTGCCTCTTCTTTTTGAATCACTAAATGCCTCCTCAAAAGTCACTTTAGACTAAAGCGTCTGCTAAATGGCTAAATGTAGTGTTAAATGTTTATTTAGCACCAATTCAGTTCGACCTAATGTATGAAATATTTTATAATATTTTTTATGAAAGATTATTTAAAATGTATTACTGTTGCAGCCAAAGTCTTCTGTGAATGCTCTTCTGGCAGAAATGATCGGAAAATTTGAAGAGGAACCTCCACTGGGCACCAAATCTTCAGCACATGGCGACACTCCCAGCAATCTACTTGATTATGTGTCAAATCTTACAATTACTGAAGGTCTGTCTGATTTATAAAGTTGAAGTCAAAATTATTAGCCTTCCTGTGATTTTTATTTTTTAAAAATAATTTCCAAATTATGTTTAAAAGAGCAATGATTTATTTTTTTACATTATTTAATATACATTTTTTGTCTTCTGGAGAAAGTCTTATTTGTTTTATTTTGGCTAGAATGAAAGCAGTTTTTTAGTAAAAAAAAAACAAAGCTAAAAAAAAAATAATCATTTTAAGATCAAAATTTTTAGCCCCCTTAAGCTATATATTTTTTGATTGTCTACAGAACAAACCATTGTTACTAAATGCTTTGCCTAATTACCCTAACTTGTCTAATCAACCTAGTAGCCTTTAAATGTCACTTTAAGCAAAATACTATTATCGTGAAAGATCGCTAGTAAAATATTATGTACTGTTTTCACGGCAAATATAAAATACATCAGTTAGTAGGAGTTATTATTAAAACCACAATGTTTAAAAAAGTGTTGAAATTGGGGGGAAATATACAGGTGTGCTAATAAATCTGACTTCAACTGTATTTAAAAAATATGCATTGTTGCACATATTGCTTCAAATCATATTAATCGGATCTGCAATTACACTTCTAGGTGGAAATCGACCTGATCAAGAGGTTAAAGTATCTGTGATTGGCGGGGGAGATCTGGGAATAGCTGCTGTGTTGAGCATTATGGCAAAAGTAATTACATAAATGTGCTTGGTTTGCCAGAAATAGCTAATGACTACGTCAGCACATTTTTTATGACTGAGCTGTAATGTCATTCTTTGCGTCACAGAGCTGTGTCGACAAACTGGTTTTGATTGACATACCAGAGAACTCAACCAAAGGAGGCACAATGGATTTGGAGATTTTCAGCCTACCAAAAGTTGAGGTCTCAAAAGGTGTGTATTTTTTTGGTGTGTTTTTTGTTTTGCATTAAACATTACACATGAAAATCTCCTCCATTTTACAATGTCGGTAACATTTGAATTGCATAGTGTTTATTTTTTAATGATGTTATTTTTTTGCACAAATGACATACATTTTCATCAGTTAATTGCATTAAATTGTAGGATAAAATATTTAGAGTTGTCACGATGGCGCAGTGGGTAGCGCTGTTGCCTCACAGCAAGAAGGTCACTGGTTCGAGCCTCGGCTGGGTCAGTTGACATTTCTGTGTGCATGTTCTTCCCATGTTTGCATGGGTTTCTTGCAGGTGCTCCGGTTTTCCCCACAGTCCAAAGACATACGGAATAGTTGAATTGAATAAGCTAAATTGGCCGTAGTGTATGGGTGTTTCCCAATACTGGGTTGCGGCTGTAAGGGCATCCGCTGCGTAATAACTTATGCGGGATATGCTGTGGTAAATAAATAAATAAATAAACAAAACATTTTTAATATAATATACACTATAGTAATTTCATTACCTTAGAATTATAAAGTTCCATCTGACATTTTTGTCAAAATGGAGTTATTGACATATTCTTATTAAATGGCAACTTATTTAGATTTTGGGATGTTTTTTTTTTTTTTTTTTCACGTTAAAAAAAACAATGTTACACACCTACTTTTTGCTATTGAATGCAAAAACTTTGAAGCTCAATATCTCAAAATAATTCAGAACGCAGAAAGAACCTTATATCTCCAGGGTAACCATTTGTTGTCCTTTTTTGTAATTTTCTTTGAATAATCAATACTATAAAGATCCTTTATTTAGTTTATTTAAACTGTAGTGCTTTTCCCTGTACTGGGTTGTGGCTGCAAGGGCATTTACTGTGTAAAACATATGCCGGAATAGATAGTGGTTCATTTCACTGTAATAAATAAGGGACTAAGCCGAAGGAACATGAATGAATGAATAATTGAAATTGTAGTGCTTTACATTTCCATTTTTCATTTATTATTTGTATTTTTACATAGATTTTAATTGTGCTAAATCTGTTTATTGTTATGTTACAATAATTAAAGCAACTTACAAATTCAGTATATTAATTTTTAAAATATATATTGTATTTTTTATTAAATATTAGGAATGTTTAAAAATATTAAGACCATTACATTTTTATATCAAAATGTGTAAATATAGTCAGCATAAAGTCAGAATTATTAGCCCCGTGAATTATTAGCCCCCTGTTTATTTTTTCTCCAATTTCTGTTTAATGGAGAGCAGATTTTTTCAGCACATTCCTAAACATAATAGTTTTAATAACTCATTTCTAATAACTAATTTATCTTTGCCATGATGACAGTAAATAATATTTTTTCTAGATGTTTTTCTAGACGCTTCTATTCAGCATTTAAAGGCTTGACTAGGTTAATTAGGTTAACTAGGCAGGTTAGGGTAATTTTGTTGTATAACGATGGTGTGTTCTGTAGACTATCGAAAGAAAAAAATAGCTTAAAGGGGCTAATAATTTTAACCTTAAAATGTTTTTTTTTTTAATTTTCATTCCAGCCAAAATAAAACAAATAAGACTTTCTGTAAAAGAAAAAATATTATCAGACATATTGTGAAAATTCCCTAGCTCTGTTAAACATCATGTTGGAAATATTTAAAAAATTAAAAAAATTTAATTTAAAGAGGGACTAATGATTCTGACTTTAACTGTGTATAGTAACCAGCATAAAGTATAACACTTACAGAGCTCTTATTTTAAATTAATACATTCTATAGGATGCAATACAATAAAACATTTGTGTATGTACATTACATTAGTCGGTACCAAAGCCAATTAATTAATAAATAAATTAATTTTTTTTTTTTAAATGGAATCAATTTAACAAAATAACTGAAGATCACGGTTCAAAAATAACTACACCCAATAAAATATTAAATAACAATGTAATAAGGTTATAAACCATAAAAAAGGAAATTTAGTCACAATTTTGTTGTTTTTACATTTTTATTTTATAAATAATTAATAAAACCTTTTTTTTTCTATTCGTAAAGATGTCAGGTGACTAATGAATACAACTGTTTAATAAGGGTGTTTTATTTAAATGCACCAAATAATCATGTCTATTTTTGCTACAATTGAGAAATTGATGCAAATGTTCATTTTCAAAGGGGATGTACTCATTTATGCTGAGCGCTGTATATTCTAGAAATCATGTAATCATAATGTTAGCCCTCCACAAAGTGAATTTAAGTTAAAAATGTTACTTTTAGTTATTTTATTGCATTATTTTAGTCTTAAAAATGAACAAAAAATTGCTTTTTTTTTGTTGCTTTTTTATGGTTTTAGTTTCTGAAATATACCCGCTGATGATATAAATTAAGTCACCACGAAATCTTTAAATGTCTGTGTTTCTTTCTTCCTTTTTAAACTGTCTATTTAAAAGTTATTTAACTTCTCATACTCAACAGATGACAGTGTGTTTCATCTTCTTTTTTATAGACCTGTCAGCTTCAGCAGGATCTAAGGTATTGGTCATTACAGCGAATGCCTGGAGTGATGAGCAGTCATATCTGAGTGTAGTGCAGACTAATGTGGACATGTATAGAGGGATAATCCCTCGTCTCGCTCAGCTGAGTCCAAATGCTGTCCTGGTCATTGCTTCTCAACCAGGTTAGTGATTATTAGCAGCTACTTGCTTAGCCCAGGTCTCTCCAACAGATTTCAAGCAGCTCGTCATGAGGAAAATTTCATTCAGTCAGGAAACTAACTGACTGGTGTCCCACTATTTCCTTTTTAAATATAATATCGGCAACTAAACCGTTGGACTATTTTTTTCTTTAAAAATTTTGAGCAGATATGATTGCAATAAGAGGACAAAATTAACATGCTTCCAGGCACTTTGCTCAGCAGGGAATGGATTTTCCTCCATGTGCCCCCTGAGATAAAATGAGTTTGACACCCCTGCTCTAGGACATCAGAGACTTATTTTACATCTTGTAAAAAGGGACATAATAGGTCCCCTTTAAAGTTAAGAGCAACATAATTATTTGATTAAACCTTGATTTAATTGAGTCTAAATTAAAGCTTAATCCTTGTTGGTGCAGCCCGGCCAGTGAGAAATGACTAGTCAAAACCCTTCAAGCTGTAATCATAGCGGAAAATCCTGTAGAGTCTACTTTGTAGGGTACTTGTTGCTGAATTAGGACAAATGTCTGACGGCAAAAATGACTAGTCTAAAATGTAATTGGCTACCTTGTTTTGTAGATCATGAATGTAACCTCTGATATTACTCCCACAGTGGACGTTATGACACATGTTGCCTGGAGACAAAGTCATCTTCTGCCAACTCAAGTGATCGGTGTGGGCTGTAATCTGGACTCACAGAGGCTTTCTCACATTATCAACATTTCACTAGTGGCTAATAACACTGGCAAGCAGGCCTGGGTCATTGGAGAACTCTCGGAGAACAAGGGTGAGTGCATCATATGGGTTAAAGTTATGGGCTGTGTCCGAAACCGCATACTTCCATACTATATAGTATGTTAAAACAGTATGCGAGGCGAGTAGTATGTCAGAATTAAAAAAAAAAAAAAAAAAAAAAAACGGTATGAGAGAAGTACCTGGATGGCCTTTCACTTCTGTCAAGATTCTTAAGTGTGCATCCGATAGATGCTACACTATGCCATAATGCTACATTAGAGAATTCATGAATGGCAGTGAGGTGATGCAGCCGACACAGGTAGGTCACGTGATTATGAGAAATGGCGGATATAGTATGTCTGAGTTCCATTCATACTGTCAAAAAGCTTAGAATGATCAAGAGGCGACACTTGATAGAACTTTCCTTTGCAACAGGAGCACCCAGCAACAGCCCCGCGATTCCACCATTTTGGAGTGAAAGCATTCAGCCGTCCATTGGATCTTATTGCTGTTGCGATGGCAAGCAGCTGCTTTGTTTTTCATTTATTTATTTAAAAAGCGCATTAAAGCTGAGATACAAACTGAAAGACGACAATACCACACTTACTATGACAATAATCAGCACTTCGAACAGCTTATTTTACAGACTTATAATATGCTGTTGTTCCATTGGAATTTTCATTCCAAAATGGCCACTGCGGCATCTAGTGGCTGTTTCCCAAATTACACTAGAGTGTCGCCTCTTTGATTCTAAATTTAAATTCAAATGTAGTTCTTACAACCTGAAACATTTTTATTTTATGGATTTTATTTTATGTATCTTATGAAGTTTTGTGCATCAGAAAACTGTAATATTTATTACAAAGTTTTGCCATTTTCACTCTTGCTCATCGACAGAACACTTAAAAAAAAAAAAAAAACTGCAGCTGTTTGCCTCCATGATAATATAGTTGAAGTCAAAATTATGATATATATATATATATATATATATATATATATATATATATATATATATATATATATATATATATATATATATATATATATGTGTTGGTATATATATATATATATATATATATATATATATATATTAGGGGTGTCAAAATTAATTGTTTCTTCGGTGCACCGCGATGCAGACGCGGACAATTCGGTATCGGTTCAGTAATAATCATAACCGGTTATTATGTACTGACGTCATTTATCTCCTATGCGCTCTGTCGCAAGGGAGGCGAGCGCGAGTATTTACAACACTCAGGCAACTCAGGGCCAGCCCGTGGCATAGGCACCAAAGGTATATGCTAAGGGCGCTGTACATCCAAGGGGGCGCCAGAAATGAGCGCGGTTCAGTTGGTTTTGTTTTCGATTTTCCTGACACACATTCAGTTATAGACGGCAATAACTCAAAAACCTCTTACCCTAAAAAGATCTAAAGTGTGTTTCCTACAAAAAGACAAAGCTGGTTAAGTTGCACAGCTGTCTTTCTTTTTTTTTCACTCGACATTACGATCACTGCTCCGTTTAAGCCCTCGCAATGTGTGTTTAGTTGAGAGAGCTCGCGCTGAGAGGAGCTCTTAGTAACCGACAGAAAAGTGCTCCTTTTTTTCGTTTTTTTGTTTTTCTGCTCCGCTCAGCGCGAGCTCTCCCTGTTGCGAGAGCTTAAGTGTGTGTGTGTGTGTTTGTTTGTTTGGTGCTGTCTATGTTTGTGTGTGTTTGTGTGTCTATGTGTTTATACAGACAGCTTGCTATAGCCTCCCCCCTAAAATATAACACTGTATATAGAAAGCATCGTCGATGCACCGAGATATCGAATTGAACCAAATCGATATACATATTTATTATTATTATTATTTTTCCAAATGTTTCCCAAATGATGTTTAACTGAGCAAGGAATTTTTCACAGTATTTCGCAGGGCTGTGTGAATAATTGAAATAGAATCGCAATCGCTGCGATATGAAATGTATATTATATGTATTATTTAATTTCCCCTTCCAGAGCAAATGCGTGACTGCCGTCTGTGTGTGATAATCTTTCTAGTCAATTGAATGAGCACAGTTTTCTTCTACCCAATCAGAATTGCGCAACCAAACTATGCAGAACGTCTACAATAAAAAAATTTAAAAAACAATAAAAAAGACAAACAAACAGGAAAGCGCTTGCTAGTGGGCTGTTGGCATTTGTCGCTTAAGAAGCATTAATAGACTAATTAATATCAAAGAAAAATAGGACATCGGTAACCTGGGAATATTTTGGTTTTAAAGTCACAGACACAGAACAAAAATAGGTAATTTGTAAGTGTTTTTTCCAAAGCACGAGGAAATACAACAACCAGCACCTATATGCAAGACAGGCAGCTATATGAGGAGTGTCTTGCTAAAAAGTCAATCGAAAAAGTCAAAATTATTGCCAGTGACACTCAGGGCTCTATCATACACCCTGCGCAATAAGGCCCCAGTCGTGTTTGCCGCGATGTGTTGGTATTTTCAGACCAGCATAGTAGTCATTTTCCTGCTTTGCCCCACATTGTTAAATTTGCAAATCTATAGAGGAATTACCAACCTACGTCACACATGATGTCATATGGGTTCAATCACGCATATCAGTTGTGAAAAAAGACCGGTTGCAATAGCAAACATGCCATGTTGTGCGGTCAATTTTCTCAAATCATGGGAAAAAAGCCACATTTTATTTTTAAATTAGTGGGCTTACATTAAAGGGGTTACTTCACAAATTACACAAAAAACATTTGCTCGCCTTTAAATTGATCCAAACTAGTAAAAACTGTTCATCTTCAAACTGTTCAATATGCGCTTCAGCAGTATATGCGCATGTCTCTGAGCTCCAGTGGTTAGTGGGTGCTTTGAGCCTAGAGAGCAAAACCTAAAAACCTAGAGAGCAGTGCATGTCAGACAGTTTATCAAGGATGTACCGCTGGATCGCGTCTCACTATAGTTAAGCGTGATATTTAATAAATCTTAATGACTCTTCTGTCTTTTGAATCTATCAAGTAACGTGTCACAGCGTCAGCACACTGCCTCAATCTTTCGCTTTCACAATTGTACTTATTGTAAGTATTGTACAATTGTAAGTATTTTAGCGAAAACTTCAGATATTGTTGGTTGGTTGCTGTTAGTTATGCACCTTTTTTTACTAACCAAGTTTGTTGACGCCTTTTTAACAACACCAATCACTCTGCCTATTCATGCCAGAGTCCCGTGGAAAAAAAGTGATTGACGTGGTCATTTGCGTGTAACTTGTCTTTATTTATTTATGATTTACAAAGACCATGCAGGTGAGGTAATTGAAACGGTAGGCTACAAATAATTATTGCATTATGAATTTATTATTTATTCATAAATAATTGCCGCCTACAATGATGATGCGATCATTCATAGCTCATCATTAAATGCCAAATTGGTCAACATCGCCCAACCCCACTTTATTCCTATGGAATTATTCTTTGATATCTCCAAATATATTTTGGACCTCTTTGCATATCTTGGAATATTTCTAAATCTGAATGAAAGCGTTCAATTTCAAGATCTATACAAGAAGTGAGTAAATAAGGTTTTTCATTTGCAGTGTGTAAATGCGAATGTGTAAATATCAATGACTTTAGGAAATATGATTCTGTGGAATTAAAAAGTAAATGATCCTGGATGAAAACCCTCATGCAAATTTGTGTTTGTGTTTTGGTAAAACAGTTGTTAAATCAACAATTTCCAGCATCTTAACCACATTAGCCTTCTGTGTGTGCAGAGATTTTAAATCATTCATGTTTGCTTTCTTTTGGTTAATTATCAGTGGCAGTATGGGGTAATATGGGACCAGGAACTGACCAATTGCAAGCATTAACCCCAGTGTCCAACTCCACCAAACCCTTAATGGACAGGTATTCATTTAAACAATCATCATCCACCACCATTATTAATTTTATGCTTTGTTATTTCATTGTAAAGTCTGAAACGTTTTATTTATTTATTTATTTTTTTTCACAGAGCATTTGAGATGATCAAGGGAAGAGGCCAAAGATCATGGTCAGTTGGGTTGTCGATTGCTGACATCACCCACAGCATTGTGACCAATCAAAAGAAAGTACATTCCGTCACAACACTGGCTGAGGTATGTTTCTTAATCTGTTGCATGTTTCTGTTCTGTAACTTTGTGCTCATTCATTTTGAACATGAATAATTTATTTATAGATTATCAATCAAGTCTTGTACATCATCTTATTACCTTACACCTGTGCCATTTCCAGTCAAAATAAACTTGCTGGTTTAAAAGAAGAAACTTTAGGTCAGAATTTGACTCAAGTGGTATAAATAATTTTGGGCTTGACTGTGTATAGATACAGTTTAGGTCAAAATTAATCAGCCTCCGTTTTTCTCTCCTTTTTCAAACATTTGTCAAATGATGTTTAACAGAGCAAGGAATTTTTTTACAGTATTTCCTATAACATTTTTTCTTCTGGAGAAAGTCTTTTTTTTATTTCGGCTAGAATAAAATTAGTTTGAAAAAACATTTTTATTATGAAAATTTTTTTTTTTAACTATTTTATTTTTACTGAGTTGTAACTTAAATACAGTATGTTATATGGTATGACTGCAGAAATGAAATATTTATTTATGTAATATTTTAATAATACATAAATAGAATGAATATTTTTTCTTCTTTGCTTGTTGGAAATTTTGAAGAAACTAGGTGAAAAAAAAAACATTGTAATGTCAATATTATTAGCCCCCTTAAGCCTCCCTTTTTTTCAATAGTCTACAGAACAAAACCACTGTTATACAATGACTTGCCTAATAACCCTAACCTGGCTAATTAACGTAGTTAAGCCTTTAAATGTCACTTTAGTGTCTTGAAAAAAATATATTAAAATATTATTTCTGTCATCATGGCAACAATAAAAGAAATCAGAAATTAGTTATTAAACTATCATGTTTAGAAACATGTTCAAAAATTCTTCTTTCCATTAAACAGAAATTGGGCAAAAAATATAAAAGAATTAAACTTTAACGGGACAATTCTGACTTTAACTGTTTATAGCCTGACTGTCCACAAACCAACAGCAGAAAAGCTTCTATTTTTTATCTCTTCAGTTGATGAAAACAGCTTTTCCCAATGAATCAGGGTAATGGAGATGCTTTGGAGCAGCTTGCACTATTTAGAATGGTATAGAGCTTTGGATTTTCCCATAGACTGTGACAGTTGGGAAAGGGGATGAATCATTTTGGACATGCCACTTTTTGTTTGAATGTAAATAAAAGATGAGAGAGGTATTTTTTCTCAATGTCTCTTGTACATCGTCTTATTATCTTTTACAAGAAGCCTGTGTTGTTTCCAGTCAAAATAAACTTGCTGGTTTAATAAAAGTAACTTTAAGTCAGAATTTGACTTAAGGGGTATCAATAATAATTTTCGGCTTGACTGTGTATACATACAGTTTAGGTCAAAATTATTCCGCCTACTGTAACTTTTTTCCGCCTTTTTAAAATATTTTCCAAGTTATCTTTCACAGAGCAAGCAAGACATTTTATATAGTATTTTCTATTATATTTTTTTCTTTCTATATTAAGTCTTTTTTATTTCGGCTAGAATAAAAGCAGTTTGAAATTATTTAAAAAATCATTTTTTTTATTTTTACTGAATTGTAACTTAAATACAGCATGTCTGACAATCCTGTTGACCTAGTTTATTCCCTGAGTGCCCAAAAAATGGACACGTTTTTCATTTGTCCTTTACAAAAAAGACTCACTGATTTGTCTTTAACAGCAAATAGCAATGACTAGGGCCAGACGGAATCTGCAGACGTTTTTTGCTATTCCTGCAGAGAATTTTGGTAAAAATCTGTGGATTTCTGCGGAAAGATTTTGGGAGTATTGTAACTAAAACCTTAATATATGAAATAAAAAGTAATACCTTTTTAACTTTTATTTAATGTTTAAAATGCAAATCCAATTAGATTCACTTTATTTGGTAAACAAAGCAAGTCTCTCATAAAACATCTCTACTAAAAGACAGAAAATATGACTGTACACACTGCATTGTACATAAATCAGATTTTCATATTTTAATTAATTAAAAAAAACTGAATAAATACAGATTTACTCACATTTACTAGATAATAACTAAATAAACAGAATTAATGATAGGCTAAAAATCTGCGGAAATCTGCGCGCACAGATTCCATGTGGGCCTAGCAATGACCCAAGCATACTGGACCCAGTTGAGGAAGCTCCCTGTCCCAGCCACAGTGCATTATCTGCTCCAAAGCTCTTGCTAACAAATGCATGCGGCCATCCAAATTAATAAGACATTTGCAGACGAATCATCTCCACTACTGCGAAAAGTCCACAGCAGTTTTTGACCGCAAGTTGCAAAGGCTTACGTTTTTCAGTTGAAAATGGCCCACTGATGTTTTGCTTTTATATTTTACATTAGGTTATTAAATGTGCATAAACATATCCAGATATAGTAATAAACATACCGTTTGCTTGAAAACAACATTTTTTGTCATCCTTACTGCAAACTTATATGAGCGATATAAGGCTGATTATTTAGGAGGTGTAATAATTCTGACTTCAACTCTATATATATATTTGACTATCATTATTATTTTATTTATATGTGTTAATTTTGAGACTATATGTAAGTCTCCAATGAGCTTAATATGTGTGCTTTTTCTTTCATTCAGGGTTGGGGTGGAATCGGTTCCAAAGTGTTCCTCAGCTTGCCGTGCATCCTCGGCGAAACAGGCTCCACTCGATTACCAGGAGTGGCTTTAGGGTCAGAAGATGAAATGAAGCTGAGGGAAAGTGTGGCGTGTCAGGTCAATCTCTTCATGCAGCTAAGATTGTAATCACCTCTTTAAGTGGTACATTTGCTCTGCAGGTTCCACTAAAATTGCACCTTTCAGAACACTTATTTAATGAGGGGTGAAGGACATTGAAGACCCTTCCCGCAACACGTACTAATACTTTCACAGCAGTAGCACTAAAGACGTATAAAGCATTATGCATAATATCCTTGCACTTCAATACTGTTTACAACACAAACTATATAGATGCAATCCTGTTGCTATATAACTTATTGACAGTGGTTATCTGTTCAAATAGTGCCTTTATGGAAGGTCATATTATGGTAAATGGTTAAATTATGGTTGGGTGGTATAAAGCTTTTACTCATGAGGCAAATCAATCAAAAGGCATACTGTAGTCAGGCATACTGTTCTTGCTGTGCATTTATGCGAGCGAATGTATATTTTATTCTCTAAAAGATTCCTGACGTATATTTTATATTTTATTATTATGTCATGTACTGTACCTCGGAATGTGAAATCAAGAATTAAAGATTGCAATAATGTAAATATTAAAATAAACACTTAAATTTACCATGTATTGTCTAAACGCTATAAGGATTGTTTTTATATATGCACTTGGACAAGATGATCTGCTGCATTTCAAACCAAGCTTCAGAATGGGGAAGAAAGATGATTTAAGTGAGTTTGTGGTTCAAGTGGTTGTTGGTGCCAGAGAAGCTGGTCTGAGTATTTCAGAAACTGCTGATCTACTGGGATCATCACGCACAACCATCTCTGGGATTTACAGAGAATAGTCCGCAAAAGAGAAAATATCCAGTTAGCGGCAGTTTTATGGGGGCAAATGCTTTGTTGAGGTCAGAGGAGAATGACCAGACTGGTTTGAGCTAATAAAAAGGCAACAGTAACTCAAATAACCACTCGTTACAATCAAGGTATGCAGAAGAGCATCTCTGAACACACAACATGTCCAACCTTGAGGCAGTTGGGCTACAGCAGCAGGAGACCACTCCTGTCAGCTAAGAACAGGAAACTGAGGCTACAATTCACACAGGCTCACCAAAATTGGACAATAGAAGATTGGAAAAACGTTGCCTGGTCTGATGAATCTTGACTTCTGCTGTGACTTTCTGATGGTAGGGTTAGAATTTGGTGTCAACAACTTGAAAGCATGGATCCATCCTGCCTTGTATCAACAGGTTAGGCTGCTGGTGGTGGTTTAATGGTGTGGGGGTATTTTCTTGGCACACTTTGGGCCTATTAGTACCAAATGAGCATCATGTCAACGCCACACTCTACCCGAGTATTGTTGCTGACCATGTCCATCCCTTTATGACCACAGTGTACCCAGCTTCTGATGGCTATATCCAGCAGGAAAACACACCATGTCATAAAGCACAAACCATCGCAGACTTGTTTCTTAAACATGACACTGTGTTCACTGTATTTAAATGGCCTCCACAGTCACCAGAACTCAATCCAATAGAGCACCTTTGGGATGTGGTGGAACTGGAGATTTGCATCTTGAATGTGCATTTGACAAATCTGTGTGATGCTATCGTGTCAATATGGACCAAAATCTCTGAGGAATATTTCCAGTACCTTTTTGAATCTATGCCACAGAGAATTAAGGCAGTTCTGAAGGCAAAGGGGTAACCAACCCAAGGTGTGCCTAATAAAGTGACCAGATGAGTGTATTGTTTAGTTAAAAATAGTCAAACAAGAATAAACCAAATCAGATTTTTTTCACATTTTTTACTGTTAAGGAAACTAGAAAAACACCATATAACCTGAGAAGCATAACATAAAAAGGAATTAAATACCATATATTCTTAATACAAACAACAAAAGTGCAAATAAACCCTGTACAAATTACATTTATATACACTCATAAAAAAAAAAAATCTTCATATTAACATTCGTCATGGTAGCTGCGTCCCAAGGTTGTGCTTCATCACTTTCCACAAGGTGGCGCCAGAGAGCAGTACATAGTTTCAAATTATAAAGCAGAAATATAAAGCAAAGGAAGGAGCACTGAAAAATATCCTGAAATCAACGTAACCACTTGTATGTTCTTGTGGTAAGATGTTGACATTTAAATATGTCAGAACAAACAATTTTAACACTGATGTACATTCTTTGGGTGTACTTTCATAACGTAAACAAAGTTTCAAAAGAAACTTGAAAAAGAAAACAAACTGCACCAGGATACATAAAACAATACAAGACAGGGGTCACCAATCTCGTTCCTGGGGGTCCGGTGCCCTGTAGGGTGCCCTGTAAGCTCCAACTTGCGTCAACACACCTGCCTGGGTGTTTCAAGTATACCTAGTAAGACCTTGATTAGCTTGTTCAGGTGTGTTTGATTAGGGTTGGAGCTAAAATCTGCAGGACACCGGACCTCCAGGAACAAGTTTGGTGATCCCTTATATAAGACAACAAATCATTGCAATGTATGATCTCATGTGGTGTTTCCCAACCCTGTTCCTGAAGGCACACCAACAGTACATAGTTTGGACGTCTCCCTTATTTGACCCATTCATTTATTTTCTTTTCGGCTAAGTCCCTTATTAATCAGGGTTCACCACAGCAAATTGAAGCGCTAACTTATCCAGCATGTGTTTTATTCAGCGAATGCCCTTCCAGCCACAACCCAGGAGCGGAAAACTCTCATACACTCTTGAATTCACACCCAAACATACACTACAGCAAATTTAGCTTATTCGAAACACCTATAACACATGTCTGTAGGGGAAACCGGAGGAAACTCATGTGAACATGGGGAGAACATGCACTTCACGCAGAAATGCCTACTGACGCAGCTGGGGCTCAAACCAGTGACCTTCTTGCTGCGAAGTGACAGCACTACCTACTGCGCCACCATGTTGCATCTGACCCATTCATTAGTCTCTTCTATTGTTGTTATGAGTTGATTCAGGTGTGTTTGATTAGGAAGAGGTTGAAAATGTGTACTGTTGGTGTGCCTTTAGGAACAGGGTAGGGAAACACTGTTCTAAAGGCCAAAAAAACCCAGTCAAATCAGTTATTTTGTCTTCCATAAAGATGAAAACAAATGCTACTGTTGTACTTGTATGACAAGTAACAAGACAAAGAACTTTAAAACTCCTCAGAAAAACAACAAGTTAAAAAAACAAAGATAAACACATTAGTGGTTTAGTTAACCATAAATTGACATTTTTGATATAATTGAACATTGTGTCCCACCAAACCTGAATCCTTTGTTCATTTACACAAATTAAGATATTTTAGATGCAATCTGAGGGCTCCCTCATCGTCTATAAACTGCAATGGTCGTTGAAAGTCCAGAAATGTAACCAAAAACACTGTCAAAACATTTCATGTCACTTCAGTGGTTCAGCTGTAATCATACCAAGTGTGCCACATGCCTGTTTTTGAGTGATGCTACCGGCTGTTAGATTGCCGGTACAAAGTCACAAAGCCCGCCTCCCCGTGTAATGAACGAGAGAAAAATCAATTACACTTGCAAAGAAATGTCCTGAAAGGTAGTTTTGGTCAATTAAGGCACTGGTTATGCTGATATAGGTGCAGATCTCCATTTTTGTAACAAGTATTTGGGGCGTGTCATCGTGACTGACAGTTGGGATTGACAGCTTCTCTAAGCAGACCGTCGGAGCTTCAGGAGGAGATTGAAGCACCAATGTTCGATTTCTGTTAGTTAACCATGATGAAATGAGTTGTTCAGCAGTAAACCATACTTCTGACCTACAGGATCTTATGGGTCACTGTTTATTCGGTAAAGTGTGGGCTTTATTTTAGTTTGCTGATCCATGACTGGTCATGATGGGGAAAATACAGGTGATCATTATCTAGCAGTAACTTTTTTATGCATCTGTAATAATAATTAGGAAGACAAAACTAATGTTAACCTATTTCCAGATTGATCTTCTGGAACGTTATTTGAACGTTTTGCGTTCAACGGGAAACGTTGTCCATACTTTTTACAGTCAATCAAATGGAGCCTGAGAACAAAAAATCTTTTCTGGACTTCGGAACATCTTTCGACCATTGCTGTCAATTGAGGATGAGCGAGGTCTTGAAGTTCATCCTATGTGTTTTGTTCCGAACAAGAATGAAGGTCTAAGGGCAGGGGTGCCCAAACTTGGTCCTGGAGGGACGGTGTCCTGAAGAGTTTATATCCAACTTGCTTAAACACACCTGCCAGGAAGTTTCTAGTTTACCTAGTAAGAGCTTGACCAGCTGGTTCAGGTGTGTTTGATTAGGGTTTGAGCTAAACTCTCCAGGGGCCTGTTTCAGTAAGGAGGTTCAAACAACTCAGAGTTTAAACTTGAACTCTGAGTTTATTTACAGAGAGATTAAAAACTCAAGAGTTTTCGGTTTCAGAATAGCGGAGCTGAGTTGGGTCAATCAACTTTGAGTAGACCAACTCAGAGCTAAGCACGCACACCGTGACTATAAAAAGGCATTATCAATGGAGCGCAGATATTACGAGTGACCATGGCAACATCTTAAAAAAAGAGATCACCATTTCTTTCTCCAGCTGAACTTGATGTGATCATGCAACGTTATAGCAAATATGAGTGTATATATTTTTAAAAAGAAGCAACCATCAGTGAAACAGAGACAGTTAGCTTGGGAAAACAGCTGCTCAAGTCAAATGCGTAATTTTACATTTAAAATATTTAAACATAATAAAATAAGTAATGTAATGTGTGATGGTTATACATTTTTTCTAAACTTTTATACACGTTTATCAGTTTTAATAGATTTAACAGTGCACTTGTGTGTCTGCCTTTTTTTCTTGATTAAGTGATAGAGTTTAATATAACATTTAGAAGGTAAGCAGTACTAAAAATAATTTTTAGAAAGAATAATAATCCCATTAATCTAGTTACAGTACGTCTAAGGTCAATAAATTTAAGCTAATTATTTATTGTTCTGTGTGCGACTAAAAGGTAGGCAATATCTATGTTTCCATCCAAATATATTACATAAATTTTTGTACAAAACTGGAATATTGTATAAAAGATGCGAATAAAGCAGCGTTTCCATCCAACGAGTCAAAGAGAACAAAATCGTAACTTTTTGATTAACTGGCACCAAATATCAACAGTAAAAACAGAATTTACTGTGGTAGAAGAAGCTTTGTCAATTATTTATTTAATAGCCTAAATGTACTTGCGCCTCAGAAGACAAAGAACACGTGGGAGCGTTTGAAGCCATGAGACTCGGAGACTCTTGACACGCTCCAGATGTTCGGAGGTAGCCTAATTATATACACTAATACTAAAACAGTTAAGGCATTTTAGAATGACTAAAACAACATTTAAGACGTGTTATAGTGTGCTCAGCTTGCTGGTTTGTCCATTCACACACATTTTCATCATCATATGAAGACCTTTGTTTAATGTACATACTGTAATTTGTTCAGTAAGTGTTTCCATCATAGTTTATGCGCATATTTTCTATCAAATAAAAGTTTATCCTGCTCAATTTTGCATGTGTTTTTTATGGATATTTTCAAAAGTTAAGTGCATCATGATGTTTCCATCAATCGTTTGTATGCACATATCCAAAATGAGCATTAAAATAGGTGGGTGGAAACCTAAAGCTAAGGCGAGAAATACCGCTTTGTCTTTAAAAAAGGGAAGGAGACCGACAGAAATTCTGAGTTTAGAGAATAAAACCTGCTCCTGACCAGGTTAGGTTCACAGAGTAAGTTACCACAGTAACTGACTCTGAGTTAAAGTTACCTATCTTTTAGAAACAGGCTTGACTTACCCTGCTTTCTCGAGTTTAACAAACCTGCCATTTTAAAATGGAAAACCCAGATTTTCTCTCATTTCAGGGTTAAAATACTCTGATTTTTCACTTAACCTCCTTTCTGAAACAGGCCCCTGGACCGAGTTAGGACACCCCTGTCTTAGGGTATTATAACAACATGAGGGTGAGTAATTATTAACTGAATTTTCATTTTTAGGTGAACCAACACTTTAAGCTTCTCAGAAAAATGATTACTCAAGTCCCTAAATTGTATTTCTGATAACCAGAACCGACAAATGCCTTAGGAACCTTAGGGAATTGGATTAAAATGCACCAAATTTGCTTTGAACACACACACACACACACACACACACACACACACACACACACACACACACACACACAAACACACACACACACACACACACACACACACACTTAAGCATACTGTTGTCTTGTCAAATACTGTAGAAGACACATTTAAACAAAACAAAAAAATCTAAAAAGGTTAAAAACACTTCATATCACCAAGGCACAAAAGTTCTTCCGTTCACACTAACATTTGTTCTTTCTTTAAAATATTGATTTCAGCAACTAGTGACTTGGAACATGCATTCTGTAATCAGAGTGAACAGGAGGGGGCATTGTTGTCTTTAGTTTTTTGGGTGGTAGTCTTGGGGGCTGTGACTGACCTCTGTCTTGTTCATTCTGGTTCATAACCAGCTGACTGCACGGAACTGAAGATAAGAGGAAGGGTTGATCTTCGAACCCAACAGGTGGTTGGGGGAAAATGCAGTCTGGAGTCACCCAATTACTTGACTCCTCAGTGCACAGAGGAGGTGGAGGGAGTGGCGAAGAGTCAGGAGTGTAGAAAAACATTGATGGGGGTGGTAGAGAAAGAGACATGGCATCTTCCGAAGGAAGGGTGTAAGCTGTGTTCTTGACACCCAGCATTGGGTTTTGCGGCAATGTGGCTGCCATCTCCAATAGCCGATCTACAGATTGATCCTCCTCTTCGGAGATGTTGTCATAATATGAGGTGTTGGAAGGTCGCCGATCACCTGAGGATGGGGGAACGTAGAGGTTAATAGGAAACTTGCTAAGCTGCCGATAGGATCTATAGAGGGAAGGTGATGAGGATGGATCTTCTACAATGAGATCCAAAGGTTGGGTAATTGGTGGTGGTGGTGGAAGCGGGGGAATGTAAAATGGGTCTTCTGGAAGTTCAACCCCTTGGTCAGTGTAGGGAAGAGGTGGAGGAGGTAATTCTGGAAGATTGAATGAGACAATACTGGAAGAATCTGTTATAGGTGGTTGGTATGGAGGAGGCCAATCTTCAGACACCCCTGATAGGGGCCTGCTGACACATTCATCCTTCAACGAAAGAGCTTCTGTTGAACGTGATGTAGGTTCTGGTTGGAGTACCTGACTCTGTGCTTGTACAGGTGCACTTTCTTGTGTCCTATCTGAATCTTCTGGGGGAGGTTGTGAGAGTGAAGAGCTGGAAGGTAATTGGGATTGCTGTGAAAATGATGAAGATGAGGTAATACGAGGGATTGGTTTGTTGCTGCATTGGTTGTGGGAGGTGGTGTCTTCCGTCTGAAGCTTTGATGCTGCTTGATTGTTGTGAGCTGCTGATGGTAAAGGCACTCTCTCTGTCTGGATCACTGAAAGCAGTTCTATTAAACGCTCTTCACCCAGGGGTATCTTTGGAAACTCATCTCCCTTGCCTAAAAAACAGATCCAAAGAAAATTAAAACAAGTTTCTTACAAGGTTCCCTTGGTTCAGCAGACAACTCTCTTTTTTATTTGTTTTATTTAAGTCGTTCCAATCACCTGAGACCTTTGTTCATCTTAGAAACATAGATTAAGATGTTTTAGCTGAATTTCAAGAGCTACCACAACTTTCGTAGAGCATCGGTCCATAAATGTTTAAAGTTTAAAAACGGTACCAAAACATTCTCAAAACATTCCATGTGACTTCAGTAGTCCAACTGTCCAATCATAGGAATCTCAAAGAACTTTTAAGTGTTCCAAAAACTCTAACTGTATTTACCTTCATCAGATCAGGGTGTGTTTACTATTAAGTTTACTATTGCAACATGCCCTACTGCCTATAGTAAATGTGCAACCTGACCTGATGTGGTAGAGAAGGTATATACAATTTTTTTTCCTGAACAAAAGTGTTCTTGGAGCTTCATAAATCGCATGGAATGTTTTGACAATGATTTTGGTTTCTTTTCTGAACTTTGAATGTCTGGCCTATTGGTTTGTATATGGTGCATAAGGAAGCTCTCAGATTCCATCTAACAGGTGCGCGAGTAATAAATAACAACTTTCACTTTTGGGTGAACTAATCCTTTAAGTTCACCTGAGTTGATTTTATGGTTCCTAAAGTAACACCGCAGACTATAAGATAATTTCACTTGCCTCTAAAATCTGTAGCATCTGTACAGATGTACTTTACTTTCTGAACAAATATGACATCAAAATTGTGGAACCACTTCCTTACCATCAGATTCTAGAATCCTTTTGTGTTCTAATCTAGAACCTTTAATTTAAATGGTCTACACTTTCAAGTATTAACAAGTATCTTGTGAATAAGGTTTTCTTTAATAGACTACATACTAATTGTTGAGAAAAGTATCATTTACTAACAAAAGTCAATCACTTAGATTTTTACCTGGAGGGGGGAGGTCAAGCTTCATCCTGCGAAGTTCTGACATAGATGATTGTAGGTGCTCAATGACAACATCATCACTCATGTTAAAAGAGGAAGCAGTACGTTCCTGCAGAAATTCCCTCAGGTCCTCCAGGGACAATTTGAGAAGATGCTCTGACAGGGAGACATGAAGATTTAGACTTTATAAACCAGGGGTGTCCAAACTTGGTCTTGGAGGGCTGGTGTCCTGCAGATTTTAGCTCCAACTTGCCTCAACACATTTGCAAGGATGTTTCTAGAATGCCTAGTAAGAGCCTGATTAGCTAGCCCAGGTGTGTCTGATTGGGGTTGGAACTAAACTTTGCAGGACACCGGCCTTCCAGGACCAAGTTTGGACACCCCTGTTATAAACCTTTAGTTAAACTCATCTACAGAAAGCTTAGTTACTTTTTAAGGGTGCAACAAGTTCATGAATTTCACCAAGTGTATACCAACAAACATTTGATAACCCAAATTTTAACTGCACACTGTTCTGTCAAGACAGTGATTAGGTGATAGCTCATGAATTGTCCCTAGTAGATTTTGCACACTCATACTTCTCTAGCTTAAGATTTTAAACCACCAAAATGTAGTTCTTGCTTACTTTTGTGCAATTTGAGGAGAGTATAAGCCATGGCTGTCAGAACCTTTTCTCCTTCTAATATGTAGATATCCCAAAGACGTAAGGTGAGTGTGAAGGGAGTCTGTAAAACAGAAACACAGCAGAAACAGGTTATCACCAGGCTAAAGAGAGCTCAAACATCAGCCCACTCATATAAAACCTGCAGTAGATTACGTTTCCTGTCTTTTTCAAATCAAACATTGTTGTGAGTGACATAATATTCATTATTCCCAAAATTTGGGCTCTTTTTATTTAAAGCTACCATAAAAGGGTTAAAATCTGGATATCCCTAGGCATAGCTGAACAATAAGAGTTCAATGAATGGAAATGACATATTGTAAGCCTCAAACATCATCGTTTCCTTGTTCTTAAGTAAATCTCTTGAGTGTAAAATCTTGACGAAAAAAACAGGCCAATCAGAAAAAAAAATTGAGTCTGACAATCCACACAGGATTGCTAATATGCATATTTTTAATATAATGTATGTGAAAGTCTAACTTTAAAAATGGGACAGGCTTTAAGGAGGAATAAGCTGTTCTGTAAAGCAGGGAGCCATGCATTTCCATGGACAGAATGCATAATGGAGGATATACAGATTATAAATTTAATCAATGCCACACCAAAGTGGCATGTGGTCTGTATAAGTTTGTAATGAGGCAGCAAACAAATATAATACTGCTGAATATAAGGCTGCATGACTGTATGCGATTTTTGAAAAGAGACTAAAACACTATGTTCATTGACTAAGACCAAAGGGTCATCAGTTTCTGTTGACTAAAACTGGATTAAAATAGTCATGGTGGATTCAGACTAAAATAAGACTAAAATGCTCAGATATTTAGTCGAGTAAAACCTGACTAGACTAAAAACGCGACCATGAACATGACTAAAACTATTAAAAAATAAAATGTCAGCTTCACACAAAGACTAAAATTATAGCAGGCTGCCAAAAACAACACTACAGTATATGTGTATGCATTACTAACCACACTGTCTTGCTCAGAAAGGTCATGACAGACAGCACGCAGTTTTACTGGATCAGAGTGATTAACAGTGACACAAGCATTATGAGTGTTTTGCATTAGGCCTAAATATTATTTTTAGACTGCAGCTCTGCACAAGAAGTTTGACCAGAGGAGAAATGGTTGTGACCAACTGAGCCTTGTTTCTCACAATGTTTTTTTTCTTGACTTTTGTCAATTGAAGTTTGTTCCTCGACACTGTTAGCACTGGCTTGCTTGGTTTGGGATTTGTGGAGCTGCACATCGATGGATTTGCTCTTCAGTGTTTGGATTTTCAGCAGTAAAAATTAAATCACACTGAACTGAACTAAACTGAAAGTGAAAATGAAGTAGCTTCAGTTTACTAGAACTTCTAAGTTAAGCTGCTTTGACACGATCTACATTGTAAAAGTGCTATAGAAATAAACATTAATTTAATCCAATTGTTTTTAATGCCCTAAATTAGAGATGCTGCCGATTTTTGTAAATGGAAACAACAAAAATAACTATCTGAGCACAGAAAAGGTTTGTACTTGAGCATAGAAATGCAAGTGATAACATTTTAAGTGTACAATAAAGCAGGTACAGTGCTCCGCATAGTTGTGTATACCTTATATTGAAAATTAATATTTTGATCTATTTCTCAGTGAATATAGGCTGTATTTTGGATTTATTAAAATAATATTTTAGTCACCAAACATATTTAGAAAGATAATACAATCATATTCAAGCAAAATATTGCAAAAAAGCATTTTTTTTCTTTTTTGCTTCTCTTAAATTCCCTTTTTTAAAATTTGTATTTAACATTTTTCTATAACATAAATTTAGGTGTACTAGTTTTTGGACTTTAATCTTAATTACTTTGTTAGATAAGCTCCAGATTTGGCTTCAGTGCTGACTAATCTAATGTATATGCACAAATATAATATTGTATAGCTACCTATGAATTTAAAAGATAGATTTGTGAGGGGTGTACGTATATATGCTGAGCACTGTATGCGTGTGTGTTTGTGTATCAGAGAGCTACAATTTTGGTAACATTTTAAAAGTATTCATTGGCACTGGTGTTTAAAAACCTAAATTAAATGATACCCAACACTAGTAGGAAATTCAATTCAATTTTGTTCAATTCAAGTTTATTTGTGTACAGGCTATATGCAGGAATCCTAAATGAAATTTCAATACTTTTTTAAGACTTTTTAAAGACCTTCTCAGAATATTTTCATATCATCGCCACAAGTTCTACTCAGTTTCAAAACTTTAACTTAATAAATAGTTGCTAATAAACAGTCGTAGTAAATAAATGAACTGCAACAGAACTCAGATAAGCTCGCAAGAAACAAAACTTGAAAGAATAAATTACGTGCTTGTTTTTAGCGACAGTTTTCAGCGAGTTCAGTTTTAACTCGTCTTTCTCCAATCAGGAGTACTTGCATTTACCCATTTTGTCGTCTGTTTTGCTCTAAGGCAGGGCTATTCATTTAGTTTGTCATGGGGGCCAGTTCATGAAAAGCATCCCAAATAAGGGATTGATATAACTTGCAATATAAGTGAGCCCATATGCTGTATTGTTGCCCCTTTAGACACCCACATTGTATTTTTCTACAATAAAATATTAATATATTATATTTTAAAACTACAAATGTTGTATTTATATGTGATATAAGCTCGAAACTTTAAACTTGCACACAGGTGGCATAACTTTGTTTGGTTGCAGCAGTTTCGCTCCATGCCACAGAATGGCCATGTTGAGAAGCCTTTAAGCTTAAGTAACCAAATGTTTTTGGCTGCTCACACCACTTGCTTAATGTCAAGTGACTAACGCTCTGTGCAGCCTTCAACTGCAGCTCGGGCTGTATTAAACAGATGTACGTCACTTCATAACTATAGCGGCAGTTTTTCAACTGAACTAAAAAAATTTTTTAAGTCTTGGTCACACTATTTAGGGCCCTGCTCTATGGTTTCACTACATGTGGAGAGTGTCACATCACTTTCCTGCATTTGTCGCAAATGACTTGACATCACCCGGACAGAGGAGCTTGGCTGGACGTACCCGGCCTGAACCAATTAAGGAAAATAAATATATATTTAAGCTTTTTTGGAGTCAAACACTTGAACAAAAACTTGGACAATGCTTGAAGAAAATTAAGGACCTTGTTAAAACAGGATTAAGACTTTTTAATACCTTTTAAGGGCCTTAATTTTCCTCATAATTGATTTATCAACTTTTACTACTTTTTAAGACCCTGCGGACACCTTGCTGCATTGCTTTTCACAATAATTATTTTAGCTCTAGCTTTACAATCAGTCAATCTAGGGCCACATATACTTGCAAATTAAAAGAACGTTTTGCAAAAAAAAAAGTATGTTAAGCAAAGATAAATAAGAGTGTTAAGCAAAAATAAATAAATCTGCAAAAATTGCAAGGCAAAATTTATTCTTTTGAGGAATAAAAATGTATTATGCCAACAAAAATAAAGAACTGCAAAGGGAAAAAGAAGTTTTGAGAAATAAAGATGAAGTTTGCAAACAAAAAAGGACTGCAAATAAAAATCAAACAGAGCAAAAAAAAATAAAAAATAAATAAATAATAAAAATATTTGCAATTAAAAAAAAAAAAAAAAAAAAAAAAGCATTGGCAAAACATTTTTTATAGCCTTGCCTTTACAAAACCCGTCCAGTCAATTGCAATGCTCAGTTTGATTAGCATTTTAGTCAACTGTGAGTTTGCTCTGCTGTTTTCACTTTGCACTTCACGTTTCTGCACGTTTCACTTTGTGGCCCTAATTTTGACTAAAAAGCTAGTTTTTTAAATTGCAAATATTTTATTTACTGATTTTAGTTTTTTGCACTGCTTGATTTTTATTTGCAGTTTTTTTTTTTTTAAGTTTCATCTTTATTTCTTAAAACTTGATTTTCCCTTTGCTATTCTTTATTTTTGTTGGCAAAATTAATATATATATATATATATATATATATATATATATATATATATATATATATATATATTTATTTATTTATTTATTTTTTGCTTTGAGATTTTTATTTATTTATTTGTTTCTCAAAACTTTATTTTTTGTTTGCAAAGCTTTCTTTTATTTTGCAAGTATACATGGCTCTAGATTGACTCAATTCAAATTCGGAAAAATAGTTTAATTAACTAGTACCAATAGCTTTTACAATTAAAGTTATTATATAGTTATATAGCATATAGTTGATGTCTGTGTGTACATGTTTAATGAAGTGTATTTGTGTATTACGTGTATCTGTTGAAATGGACCTATAAAACCATTTTTGGATATTTGTACTTACCTAAGCCCCATATCTTCTATTTAGATAGCAGAGAACAATATTGTATCAATGCATTCTATAGCATCAAAACAAAAAAAAAAGGGTAGAACATATACTGAATATATTGACTGGATCACAGAGAAAGGATCTGGGTCAAGTTCACATTGTGTTAATATTTTGTGGCACTTTTGTTAAAGACTTGAAAACCAGTTTTACACAGACACACCTCTTTTTGTTTCCTGTACATATCTCTGTGATTTACTTAACCCAGTAACCAAGATTATTTTACTAGTGACACACAGCACAACAGTGGTGAAAACAAATTATATACAGTACAATAAAAAATGTCTCACCCTGTCAATGAAGCACTGAAGGAACCATTTAGTTGTGTAGATTCCAGTGGACATCTGTTCCTTTTCCTGAATCGAAGACAACATTTAAATCACTAATTAATTCTGTCTAGTTATGTTTTGATAAATCAAAGCAAGCTTAAAGGGATAGTTCACTCAAACTTTTCCTCACACCCAAGTGGTTCTTGATCACAATACAAAATATTCTGAAGAATATTGCAAAACCACAGCCATTGACAACCATAGTTGGAACAAATAAATTACAGGAAGTCAATCACTCCTATTTTCCTACATTTTTCAACATATCTTCCTTTGTAGTCAACATTCATGATGATATTTTAGGGTAAACTATACATTTAAGACTAAACTGAGAAATCTCACCAAGTGGTTCCTAAGTTTGGAAAGGAGTTTAGACAGTATTTTGTCATGATGAACTTGAAAACGGTGGAGTTTGGGAAACCCTGGGATGAAGAACCCTTTTAATAACAACAGAGGAAGACATTGGATCAATTACAGCACATTCAACAAGCTATCTATCTATTTATCTATGCAGAAAGTGGTTAGAGCTATGAAGCTTACCATGCATGGCATGTTTCTGATTGGTCAGTAGCTGTGATAAGGCCCAGAATGCATCCTCCTCGTTCATATACATAAGCAGAATGGCAGCAATTTGGCTCATCCCCTGACAGTAGCTCACTTCCTATACAAAAACCACATAATCAGATTATCACACTACGCTTTTTAACACAAACATTTTTTAAATATTCAGACACTGATAATGGTTCAAGTATTAAAAGTACCCATGTGCAGGGATACACATAGAATTTTCGGTTTGGTTGCCAAACGACCGGTGAAGTCAACATGATTAGCCCTCCATTTTTTATATTTTCAAATATTTACCAAATGATGTTTAACAGAGCAAGACATTTTTCACAGTATTCCCTATAATAAATTTTTACTTACTTGTTTTATTTTGGCTAGAATAAAAGCAGTTTTATTTATTTTTTTTAAAGCATTTTAAGGTCAATACTATTAGTCTCCTTAAGCAATTTCTTTTTCCTGATTGTCTACAGAACAAACCATCATTATACAATGATTTGCCTAATTACCCTGATTGGCCTATTTAACCTAGTTAAGCCTTTAAAAGTCACATTAAATGGCCATGAAACCCCTATCTTTTGGTTTAAGTCTACCTCAGAGTTTTTTTCAAAAAATGCTCCGAGCTGGACATGGAACTCTACGCGCAGAGTGAGGAGTAGCTGTGGCCGGCAGAGCAGAGGGATAAGAGTAGCTAATAAATATACTATTTTCCCAGGCAATTGTTATATCATAGATTTTCCCAGTATAGTGCAGCCCTGCAGCAAAAACATGCATTATTTTACACAGCTAATAACACACATTTTAACATGCTTGCAAAAATGATCTTGCCAATGATGCAGCATGGAAAAATTCTTGAGTTTGCTGTAACTGAAATGCAAAAGTGCTTCTCTAGTGTTGCATCTTGTCTGCAATTTTTATTTTAATTTCAATTATGTGCTCCCCTGCTCATTTCACTATTTACACACTTCGACAGTATCTTTCCTTCCCTCTCCTTCGCCCTCCTCTCGCCAAGCTGACCCACTTCTACTAGGCACATTGGGAAGGAAAAGGAACATTGTACCACTTCCCGTCTCTTCAAAACCCACACACTCCTCATTTTTACAATGAAATTTGTGCTTCTGCAGTTTGTCAAAACATCCTGTCGAACCATGACTATAACAACAAAACAGTTCTTCCATTTGTCTTTGTACATCCTCTGTATTGTCTTTAATTAGGTTCAGTTTCATTAAGTACCCCCAAAAATAAATTAAACAACACAATATCCAGTTAACACCAGACAGACAGACTTTTAGAACACTCTTCACTGGCTTGACATTAGAGTCACTGACTACATTTACTTAGCCATCATTGCCTTAATCTGAATAGGACAATAATATGATTATGGCGTTTACATGAGTTGCTTTTTGAATGTTTCTTTCATGGTCCCATTTTGTATGCTAAAGGTCATCGTTTAATTGACGTCATTCAACACTAGTTTCCTTCGGCGTTTTATGCAACAACAGTTTGGGTCTATCATTGCACCATATTAGGCATTTTGTTTTTAACTTTGCAACAAGTTTGCAGTTAATTTCTCACACTGTGTGCCCTATCATACAACTGGTGCAATTTGGCACAAAGCACGACGCAATTGTTGTTTGCTAGTTTCAGCTTGGCGCAAGAGTTGTTTTGCCGTTTTGCGCTACGCAGTTTAAATAGCAAATGCATTTGCGCTCATATATGCGCCCATAGGCGTTCTGGTCTACAAAGGAGGCGTGTTGAGGCGCATTGCTATTTTGAGTTTAACTATTAACTATAATGGATTTTTCAATAGACCAGAACAAAGCCAGTCTAAAGTCTAAAGCAGAGCGCATTTGTTATCCGCCTTGCTTACACATTGCTTAATACAAACAGGATGAACAGCAATATGCAAATATTTTTACATATGAAAAAGAATTAAAATATTAAGGATATATATAGGATAAAGGATTAAAATATTACAAAACATATTATTTTGTAGCCTACATAAATATAAAAACCATACTTTCTTGCCTTTTTCCATTTCGGGTTGCTTTTTCAGTTCATTCACAACAATTTGCTTCTGTATAATGTTATTATTATTAGCAGTATTATTTATTATATGCATATTTACATTTGTTTTTATTAAAAACAAGCTTAGATTTAACCACCTGTCAGGTTTTAGACCATATGGGGCACAGCATGTGTATTAGGATATAACTCAGTTTTTTGACCACACTTCGTTATTATTGTTTCTTTTATTTGTTTGCTAGAAATTAGAACTGAATTTAGAAATAGTTTTGAAACAAATCTTTGCGCCTAAACGAAATTAATTATGTATAAATGAATGGATGTCTGTGCGTGCAATCTATCTAAGAGAGTGAAAAAGGTAAATAATGAGAAGGCTCATCTCATTCTCGCGCTGCAGATGCTCTGTTTAACTGTTTTCTTGCTTGTGAAACGCTCAGTTTTTCCACTTACAAAGTCCGTCATGTAAATAGCAAATGCGCTATGGCGCGACGCAACTGATTATTAAAGGGAATCTGAGATGAGACTCTGATTGGTTTATTCTCAAAACACACCTATAACTCATTAAGAAAATAAGCTCAACCCTTTTAGACCATGCGCCATGGCGCAAAGTGAATTTTTTCATCCTTATAATAGCAAAAGTAGATTCTGACACGCTCTTAATGCTTTTGCGCTCCTAATGCTTTTGCTCCCTGTGCTTAGCACTTTGCGCATAGATTGTCAAAATAGAACCCTATGTGTGCAAACAGAAGACGGCATGTCTGCAATTTCATTCACTAACCTTTTATTCATGCCTCTGCGACAAACTCGGATGTACTGAGAGTATGCAATAAGCACTGGTGGAAGAATTCTCAGCATAGTCATAGTTTTCCGCTTGCACCAAAAATGCGGTGTATTGCTTGAAGCCATTTTCATTTGTTTGTTGAAATGCCTGACAACTGCCAAGTGTGCTTCCTGTTGCAAAATGTAGTGAAAAATTCTACAAAATGGTAATAGTGTGATTAAGATGTTTACATGTCTGTACTGCAAAAATATGACTGAAGTAGACATATTACACGTCTTTGATTTTTGTTTACATCGAGTATGACTTTAGTCGAATTAAGGTAATCAAAACAAAACAAAAGGATAGATGTTTACATGGTAGATTCCTAATCATTATGTATTGTTTGATGCTGAGTTCAGACTGCACAGTTTTCAAAGTAGTCATGTCACTGACGTTTCAGACTGCATGACTATAAGGTGTAGCATTCTGTCACTGCAGTGTTTACACTGCAAGATGGATTGGCGACAGGGGGTTTCCCACTGCATGACTTTACAATCAGAAAAATCAACAAGAAGAATCTGCAAACTACAGCTAACAACCACTCACGCGAAACGTGACATGGCAACAACATGAGGTCACATAGTATATCCTTACATAATGAGAAAGAAGCCTTTAGTGGGGGAGAAAATGTACTTATTTTGCTCGCTTGGCTTTTTTCATTGTCGACTCGGTTATGGTATAGCTCACATGACAGATCTAACATACACGGGTGCTCCTGCCAAATTTCCACTAGTTTTTCCTCCATTTCTTGTGGCCAAACAGAACAAAAAGAAGCCCTTTTAACTTCTCATCCAATCTCCTGCTGGCCTGCAGATACCCATACTAGTGTTTGTTGCTCTCTCATTGGCCAATGCCATTTTCAATCAGAACAGATTTCACATGGCGTGATTTTGAATCGCAGAGAGCTCCAGATATTTAGCACACAACTATCTCACAGGCATCAGCGGCTCATTGGTAATTCTCTCATATTGTGCCTTTGATAGTTCACACTGTGTGATTGTTAACAATTGTAAACAAATTGTAAACAAGCCAAGCAAAAACTAGGTCTTGTTACTACTACTCATGGTGCAGAGATTGAATTAGTGTCCCAGTACAAATATCTTGGAATTTTAATTGATGATACACTTTCTTTTAGTACTCACATTCAGCAATTGGTGAAAAAAAAAGTGATTTTAGGCTTCTATTTTAGAATTAAGAACTGCCTTTCTTTTGGTGCTAAAAAGAAGCTGGTTGAGGCAACATTCATGTTGACATTGAACTACGGTGATGTACTCTATATGCATGCTTCGTCTCAAAGTCTGAATGCATTGTATACTGTTTACCATGGTGCACTAAAATTTAAAACTAATTTTAAATCCCTTACTCATCATCGTGTGCTGTATAGGGTAGGTTGGTCTGCTTTGTCCATTTGTAGGCTCAAGCATTTTCATATTCTTGTTTACAAATATATACTGGGTTTACTCCCATCATATCTCCAGAATTACATTTGTAAAAAGCCTATTCTTAATTATGGTCTTCGGTCACAGGATATTTATTTACTCTCTGTCCCTAAAGTGCAGACTGAGATGGGAAAAAAGGCTTTTAAGTACGCAGCACCTTTTGCTTGGAATAATCTGCAAACACAGTTGCAGTTCAAAGACTTGATTTCACTACATGCTTTTAAAAAGACTATAAAAGTTTTAGAAGTTGAAACACAGGTTTGTAGATGTTTTGAATAGTTGTCAGTTTGATTCATGTTAACTTTAAATTGTTTTTTGTTTGTTGTCTGTTGGACTCATTTGACTTGTGTACTGCCTAATTTTGGCCAGGACGCTCTTGTAAAAAAGATTTTTAATCTCAATGTCTTTCCTGGTAAAATAAAGGTTATAATAATAATAATAATAATAATAATAATTGTTACTCGCATGAATGTTTGCCTGTTATTACAGGGAGTTGTCTGCAATTTCTCAAACTCTGTTGGCGAGTCAAAATCGGTGCAAGAATCAAGAAGTCTGAACTAATTAGCCATATTAAAATCAGAGCATTGGTGTCCATGTAAATGTACTTACTGTCTCTCTGAATTAGTCTGTCATGGTGTATTTTCCAGTCCTCTTGAACCAGACATATAGGCATGTTTACAAATCTAGCAAGTTATCTCACTGATAGCACATAGTTGTTTAGTGTAAGGTGCTATCACCATTTGCAAAGATGACAAGGGTTTGGTTACGTCCAAATTTTCCTACTACTTAAATAGGTACTGCATTTACATTGAAATTTATTAGGCTGTTAGTAAAGTATGTTCTATATAGTATGAATGTGAGCAGTATGAACAGAAATCAGATGTACTTCATCCTCCATTTATTGACCTACCAATGACCTACCAATGCCAGTTGTGTTGCTTCACTGCCATTCGTGAATTCTCTCATGTGGCATCCATTAGATGTGCACTACAAAATCTTGCCAGAAGAAGTAGGTCAACCGAATACTTCTCGTCTACTGCTTTTCGATTGCTATGAATTAAAAACTACTCGGGTCATGTATGTTTCTCACATACTACACAGAGAGAAGTATGTGATTTCGAATGCAGCTTGAGTCTGGTGTGCGCATATTCACAACAGCCTAAGGGAGATTTTGAGTGTGGGATTAAGGGAGTTGTTGCCTTTATTACATCCTACAGTACGTGACTCTTCCAGAAATCATGTTCATGGATGTATTAAAGTATTCTAAACTTAATATCACTGTAGTATGAAGCAGAGTAAGGCTAAAAGCCATCAATGTGAAACAAGACATGTGAAGCAATTGCTGATGAGGTAAGAGCGTGATACAGTTTAAATGCAGCATAGGATTTATCATGCCACAGTTCACTGATCCACTCATGATCACACAGCGCTGTTTTGGAATGAAATGTGGATGGAATTATGGATTATGTAATGCATTGCCCACAATTATTAGGAATGCCGTTTCTTTGGATTGTTTGAAGAAGCTAGTAAAGAATTTAATTTGTGTTCTTGACTTTTTTTTACTTTTCACTTTTTACTAATTTATTGTTTTATTGGTTACTGCAGTGTGACTTTTGGCTTGTTACTGGGATTTTCGGTAAGCTTGTAATTCTGTTATTTCTGTTATCTTGTAGCACATTGAGGTCTCATTTACACTTATACGTTTTCATTTTAACATGTGTAAGTTTTCCTATAGTTTTCCATCCGTCCACACCACACCGAGTTTTCGAGTGCCAAAAACAAAGCATTTTGAAAACGCTGAAGAGGCCTTTTTCATTCTATAAGGCTGCTGTTCTGTGTCAGTGTGGATGGGGGAGACATCTGAAAACGGAGGCATGGCTGCAGACGTTCACCTATTTGATTGGGGCTTTTCTTTAATATTAAAGAGCCAATATTATGGGTTTTTAAAAATGACCTTCCATGTGTGTGACAGCTCTAAGTGAAGTGAAATATCCAGCTAGGGCTTAAATCTGTAAGTGTACAGTGTTTAAAACTGTTGATTCATCTATAAAAGCGTCGACTCATAGTGCTTCAAATGAGTCGTCTTGATAACGAGTCATTAGGTGTTTCGCAATGATGCGGCTATGAAACACAAGCCCCGCCCAGTAGTTGTGCGCGCAAACCCGGGAGGTTTGAAACCTGCGGCTCTGTCCACTAACAAAGAAAAAAAGGCTAGACACACAGACGTCGGCTGAATGAAGCCACACTGTGCTCAGCGGGATATTATTAAAGGTCTCTATCCAAAGATGAAACTGTGAAGAGTCAGTGGTTGAGGTTTATTTTTGCAAAAACACCTCAGCATTATAGCCCAGCCTTGTGCAGTTCGAATGCTTCTGGAAACTATATTCTTACAAAGAAGAATTCATCGGCCGTTTGTTAAAGGAAGGATCAGAAAAGAGTAACGTTATTGATGTAAGTGACTATGTCAAAACATGGATCAGTGGATCAGTTTCTTGCTCCATTTCACAATTTAACTCTAGCTTGCAAATTCTATATTTATATATTTAATTGTGTTTTGTTACTTGTAACTGCGTGTACTGTATCAGGTTTAAAGCCACGTTGCAAACGTGATGCGTGCCGCTTTGTTACAGATTTAACGTTAAATGCGTTTGTGAGCTGATGTTCCAATGCCGTTTGTGGTTGGTATGGCCATCGTCAGCTAGGGGCTAGGAGACTTGTGTCGATCTACTCAGTTCTTCTTCTGAGGAGGGTAATATATGTGTGTGTGTGTTTGTGTGTGTGTGTGTGTGTGTGTGTGTGTGTGTGTGTGTGTGTGTGTGTGTGTGTGTGCGTGTGTGTGTGTGTGTGTGTGTGTGTGTGTGTGTGTGAAAAAACAGCAGGTAGAGTGTAAAGGCTTGGAGGTTTTGCTCAATAAAATAGTTAGTCTTCTGTATTTTCAAGTCCATCGTCTGTATTTACATTCACCCTCTGGTGGCCAAAATCCACATCTTACACTGTGAAGCGTGTATGCACTCTGACTACTTATATACTGTTAATTAGCTGCTGGGCATTTCACTCTGTCTTGCGCTGAAGGCTGTTAGTATTGACCAATTGCAGCAGGCTGTCATCGGTCCAATCAGCGCAGATTAGCTTCGCTTTAAGGAGGGGTTTGGGAACAAATAAATCGTTGAACGATTCATACGGGAGTCACTGGGATAACAGGGTAAAAATAGATATAGATTATAAGACCATGAAAGTGTTTTTTGACCTTTCATGCAAATTAGACTGTTGTTGGAGACCCTTACAACCAAAATATGACCCTTTTTCATATATAATAGGGGCTTATTAAGTAGCCTACACACAGTTCAGTCCTCCATCCTCTCCCTGTAAATTCAGACTTCGCAAGTTCGACATGAAAATCAAACTCCTGAGGATACGTAGGGTAATCTTCAAAGGCAACAGTGTACTTTATAAGCTCATTCACATAACCCTGACTAAGTTGTTTCACTTTCTTAACAATAAAATAAAAACATGATATAAGGAACTGCCTATTTTCATTTTTGATATTATCAACCTAACAGACACCAAACATGTTGAGACATTGTGTAGCTGCATATTTATTTGACCGTCATCTTCATGCATATTTATAACAAACGGAGCCTATTACATTACTGCAGCATTTCATTTTCATTGAAAATACTCTGTCTCTTTCACTGAATATCAGATTTAATAATCAATAATGGCCATTATAAAAGTATAAAGTACAGTAAGTTTATAAAATATAGGAATTAAAGGCAAGCAATCAGTCAAATGTGCAGAATCGGTGTACGTGGTTAAATTAATTAATATTAACTTATCTTTGCGCTCAGCCACGTTTACTGAGAATCTACTTCAAATCTAATGTGAATGAGTTGGCATGTAGATGCAATGTCACTTAAATTCAACAAACGGACCATCAAAATAAAGTGTGACCTGTAATTGTCAGACGACAATGTGTGGATTATTCTCATAAATTAAACTGAATTATATTTAGGTTTACATTACCTCCTGTTTAACACAGAACCATTAGGGATACTATTCGCCTAACCTTGCGAGCAGTGCAATATGGGCTGTCTGCAAATTGGCACGCAGCCATTTCTTTATTCACTGAAACAAATACATGTTTTATTTTAGGGTTACGGCCAAACAATAACTGAAAACAATAGAAGTCTTTGGGAAGTCCCCATTAGCATAGTAATTGTGTGTGTGTGTGGGGGGGACTGTGTTGACAGGGTGGGACACTGATCTATCCTTCTCAGCCCGGATTCATCCAGCACATGCTGTTCTGAATTACATAACACACTTACACACAAACATTTCAACTCTGTCACTCCCTTACCGTGTTGTAGACTGAATAAGCTGCCAAAACATGGAACAGGGCTTGCTGTCTGTAACAGACAAGAAAGGAGGTTAATAACAACTTTATAAGCAATCAGAAAGCTCAGAACTGTTCCTAATATAATATGACAGTAATACTTAAGATTTTACACCTCTAGTTTTCAACTTATGACATGATCAGTGACATGATGCCAACATTTTTGTACCCAGATTTGGTCAAAAATAGTTTTTAACTGTATTTTAATCTAATCTGTATCTAATTCTTATTTAAAGATGTAGACCAGCATTAACGCACCAGTCTTTGGTTTCACATGATCCTTCAGACCACATTCTGACATGATATCCTATAATATAATCTGCTGCTAACATAATATTAAATAAATGCTGTTCTTTTGATTAACTTGCATCTCATCAGAAAGAATCATATAAAGTAAAATTGATCATAATTTCCACAAATCCATGAAGCATTTTTTCTTTCAGGAATTCAGGACATTTTTAACGATCATTATTATTCATTGATACTACTAATAACATGAATGACATTTTTCCTCTGGAGATCTTTTTTCTTTTAGTTTGGCTGGAATAAAAAAATAATAATAAAAAAAATAAAAATTTATATATATATATATATATATATATATATATATATATATATATATACATACAGTTGAAGTCAGAATTATTAGCCCCCTTTTGATTTTTTTCTTCTTTTTTAAATATTTCCCAAATGATTTTAACATAGCAAAAAAGTCTTACGTGTTTTATTTCAGCGAGAATAAAAGCAGTAATTAATTTTTTAAAAACCATTTTTGGGACAAAATTGTTAGCCCCTTTAAGCTATTTTTATCCATCGTTATACAACTTGCCTAATTACTCTAACCTGCCTAGTTTACCTTATTAACCTAGTTAAGCCTTTAAATGTCACTTTAAGCTGTATAGAACTGTCTTGAAAAATATCAAGTAAAATATTATTTACTGTCATCATGGCAAAGATAAAATAAATCAGTTATTAGAAATAGGTTTTTAAAACTATTATGCTTAGAAATGTGCTGAAACAATCTTCCCTCCATTAAACAGAAAAAGGGGAAAAAATAAACAGGGGCGCAAATAATTTAGGGGGGCTAATAATTCTGACTTCAACTGTATACATATATATATATATATATACATACATACATACATACATACATACATGTATAAGTACATACATGTATATGTGTATATATATCTATGATATCTGTTTTTTAATGATATATTGCACCAAAATATGTTGCGATAAATTATATTGAGACGATTTCATGCCACTCATTATATAATGCCTGAAGTAACACATCATATTTTATTCTTAAGAATATGTAATTTAATTCTAGTAATTTTAACAATTTAATTATTAAGCATTCAAAATCAGAATGTGTAAACTCATATCTTAAATAAATAATAATTATTTAACAAAAAGTAACAGAGACCAGACCTACCATATCTATTTTCAGTTGTGAGACACCCACATGAAAATATACTAAAGTAATTTATAGTAAATACTATAGGGTTTAACCATACTGACACCTCCAAAAGAGATAGAAATGTAGCATAATCCGCTGAAATGTTGCTAGATTTGTTTTTTATGTATGGGCGATATATATTGCATAACAAATGATTGAGGTCACGTCCATGCGTTGTGCAATAAGTTGATATATTAATTATTGTGACAGGCCTATCAGGCCTATTTTTTTTAAACAAGCCACAGAACTAACAACTGTTGTCCAATAACTTGGCTATATAAGTATTTGCATTCACTTTAAAATGTATCTTGCAAAATACCTAGTAACATATTATATACTGTCATCATGGCAAAGACAAGAGAAATTAGTTGTTAAAAGTATGTTTATAAATGTGTTAAAAAAATCTCTTCTCTCCGTTACAGCACTAGAAAATTATTTAAAAATGCATTACAATTTCAAAGGACTAATAATTTTGTCTTCGACTTTACTTCCATCTATGAGGAAGGTTTCCAGCACATTTATAAATCAATGTCACAAATAATTAACCCACTTTTGAAGGCAAAAGGGAGTCAAACTCTATAAGCAGCCAATGCATAAATGCTGAAAAATATTATTTGCCAAACTATTATTGTTAGCTGCATTCAAACAGTATGTTCTCAGTCGTATAAATCAAACAGTAACGCAAATGTAAAGGTAACAATGACTAGAGTTTTAATAACCAGCTCGCACGTGCCTCACGTCTGCGTCGTACTGTATTAAAGTCCGTTGATTCACAAACTAAGCATGCTCTCTTTGTGTGAACACTTTAAAATACCCACATAGTTGTTCAAATTAACATCCTGCGAGCACCCCTAAAGTAGGATCTAGCGAGACTTAGTGGTGTTTCAGAAGTGAACAGCTGTCCATTGTTCCTGTCAGCGAACTCCAATAATTTCAGGCTACAAACTCAACTGCCTTCCAGGTCGATGTGTTTCAACAGATTTAGAGTGTTTATACTGTGTTTTACAATTCTTTGTTTATTTTTATTGTATATGAATAGTAGATCAATAGTTGAATAGTAGTCAGTCTAATTTAAAGTTTTTTCTCCTGTTGTCCTGTCAGGCTCCTTTACTGAAGAAAAGGCCCAAATACTCTGCAGTTTTAAAGAAGAACGTAATTAAAGAATTCAGGAGCTTTAAATCTGTAAAAAATACAGTTGAAGTCAGATTTATTAGTCCACCATTGATTTTTTTTCTTTTTTAAATATTTCCCAAATGATGTTTAACAGAGCCAAGAAATATTTACAGTATATCTTATAATATTTTTTTTCAGGAGAAAGTCTTATTTGTTTTATTTTGACTAGAATAAAAGCTTTTTTTTTTTTTCGATAGTCTACAGAACATAGTTATACAATAACTTGCCTAATTACCCTAACCTGCCTAGTTAACCTAATTAACCTAGTTAAGCATTTACAGTAAATGTCACTTTAGGCTATATAGAAGTGTCTTAAAAATATCTAGTAAAATATTATTTACTGTCATCATGGCAAAGATAAAATAAATCAGTTATTAGAGATGAGTTGTTAAAATTGTTATGTTTAGAAATGTGTTGGGAAAAAAAAATCTGCTCTCTGTTAAACAGAAATCGGGGGAAAAAGTTAACAGAGGGGGTAATAATTAAATTCAGGGGGCTAATAATTCTGACTTTACATAAAATGTTTAATTTTTTGTTGTTATAGAATGATCTAAAAAATAAGGGAATAATAGAAGGCAAAATAAATGTTTTGCTAATAAATAAAGCTTTAAAATGGGTATTTTCTCTGGACAATCAGTTTGGGCCTTCAAACATTTTCGGAGAAGGAGGTGGGCCTCGAAGTGAAAAATGTTGAGAACCTCTGTTCTTACATACTGCTATGATTACAGTCGAACTACTGAAGTCGGATGAAATGTTTTGACAATGTTTTTGGGTCCAATCTGGACTTTGAATATTTTGGGACCATTGCTATCTACGGAGGATAAGGGAGCTCTCAGGTATTAAATATAATATATAAACTAATATTCTGAAGATGAACAAAGGTTGGAGGTGAATAATTATGATTTTAAATCTAATTTTGCCACAACTATGAGCAAATGGAATGATCTTTTGGTGAAAAAAAACATATTTTGATACATATTTTGGGAAAATGCTTTGAAAAATTCTAAACAATCTAAACAATAAATTCTATGCAAATTTAATACCCTTTTGTTATGTTAGTGGTTTTTTTTGACCCATTGACTTCCATTATTATAACATGTTTTTAAATGCAAAGCCATGGCATCATAAAATCATACATTCTTGATTGCTAGTTCTTTTCCCTGTTGGGAAGAGGTACATTTTTACATTTTACAGTTTTACTGTTAATCATAAGTTGTTGCAGTGCAAAAAAAGCTGTGTTTTTAGATATATAGGGAGTTATTTGGAGTATAGTGAGTGTGTATGCGTGTGCGTGTGTGTATGCGTGTGTCTGTGTGCGTGTGAGACTGTGTGTCTGTGTGCACTTACCTCACCATGTCTGACAAAATTAAAATAAGCACCTCAGCTTTCAGAACATTGTAAACATAGTAAGTGTGTTACACATGTAAACTACAGTCTAATTCGCTGTTTTACTCCATAGAACACAGGCCTTTCTAATCTCTTAATGATGCCAACTGATGATCAACATTAAAAATTACAAATTGTACCTCTTTCCAACAGGGAACAATCAAGATTATATGCTGTCATGGCTTTGCAATCAAAAAATGTCATAATAAAGGAAGGCAATAGGGCAAAAACAGCTACTAACATAACGAATGCGTCGTCAATGTTAAGCAATACACAAGTGTTGAGAACAGAATTTTCATTTTTGAGTGATCTAAGCCTTTAAAATATAAATTTTGTATTCCTTTGTCAATAACAAAACTACATTTTGAGCAAAACGCACTGAGGGTCCAACCCTAAATCAATCAGAAGAACGAAACTAGCTAACCAGCGGCAAGAGTGTATTCATGCATAAGCCATTATGTTCACAGGAGATGTACATTAATATTTCATGGCGTTGGCATATTTGAAAGGATTTAGTGATGCATTGCAAAACCCCTGGTAACAGGCCAGAGGAAAGCAGAATTGTGACCTCTGTGCTGTAGAAATGCAGATGAGTAACACAAACAAACAGCAGATGTGTCAAATGGCACTTCCGGACCCATATCCTCTTATTGGCCACGCAGCGCTAATAAAGACGTAAAAGTCTTAGCTCATATATTCTTTCCAGCAGACACCTTGTGAAAAAAATAAAAAAGTGAAGTGGTTGCTCTGTCTATTGTGGGTGTATAGACCGCATGGCTTAAAGCCTCTTGTGCACTTTGATCTACATCTACACACCGTGTGGTTTGAAGACCTAGCCTGTTGTGTTACATGACGCATCTGGATTTTTAGATTTAAATGGAAGGTTTTTGAGAAGTGTGCCACAGCAGTTCTATGTTTTATTAAAAACTTATGTCTGATGGCTTTAAAAAAAAAGTTGTGATTGTAAATTTCTACATTTTTATTCATAGCAATATTTAATGTGTTCCTTATGTTTTTATTGTTTAGTTTTTTTGCTCTAAAATAAACACATATTCTAACTTTGGTTCTTGCAACACATTTTTAAAAGGTTGGGAAAGGAGTGGTTTACAGTAGGGCTAGTTATCGGGTAAATTGAAAAGTCTAGTCCTTTAGGAGCACATATGGGGTGAGGATCGCCAGTTTGCCAACAAATACGTTATTAAACTATTGAAATGTTTAAAAACAATGTTCCTCAGAGAAATATACTGTACATTAGAATATTTCACCTTCAACTGTGCATAACATAATTAAAAGATTCAAGGAATCAGGATAAATTTCAGTGTGTAAAGGACAAGGTTGCAAGTCTAAGCTGAACAACCATGGTCTCCGATCCCTTAAGCAGCACTGCATGAAAAATCCTTATTCATCTAAAAGCGATATCACAACATGGGCCCAGGACTACTTTGGCAAACCTTTGTCAACTCCCACAATCCGTAGAACATCCACAAATGCCAGTTAAAACTGTACTGTGCTAAAAAGGAAGCCCTATGTTAACAGTGTCCAGAAGCACTGTTGATCCACCACACAGCTGAAATGTGTACTGTGGTCAGATGAATTAGTATATCAGGTATTTTTGGGAAGAAATGGATGCCATGTGCTTTGGACTAAACTAAAAAAAGATCATCTAGACTGAAACAAGTCCAAAAGCCAGGGTCTATCATGGTCAAGTGCCCTTGGTAAAAGTAACTTGCACTTCTGTGTTGTTCCCATTAATGCTGAAAAGTACATAGAGATTTTGGAGAACAATATGCTGCCTTTTTTCCAGGGGCGCCACTGCATATTTCAACAAGACAATGTAAAAACCACATTCTGCACACATTAAGTCCTGGCTGTAGAGGAAAAGGATACAGGTATTTGACTGGCCTGCCTGCAGCCCCGACCTGTCTCCAATAGAGAATGTGTGGCTTCAAAATGCGGCAATAAAGGCCATGTACTGTTGCCCACCTTAAGGCTTGTTTGCAGAAAGAATGGGAAAAAATTACATCTGAAACACTTCATCAAATTGTGTCTTCAAATTAGGCAGTCCCTAAATGTCTATTAAGTGTTGTGAAAAGGAATGGCAACATTACAAAGAGGTAAATGCTTTACTGTTCCAACTTTTTTTTAATGAACCAAGAACCAAAATTGGAACACATGTTAATTTTTAAAAAACAAAACAAAAAATATACAATAAAAATCACGAGGAACACACTAATTAAAAGCTTGTTGTGTTGTCTGCAATGAAAAAATGCAAGTCAAAGTAAATTTGGAAATCACTACTTTGTTTTTGTATTAGTGATTTCCATACTGTCCCAACTTTATCTGATTTGGTGTTGTAGATTTTTTTTTGGTATCGGTCCAATCTAAAGAGGACATTAAATCCCAAGTGCGTCTTCATGACTGTCCGGCGAAAAAGGAAACATTTTTTTGTCATGGCAGCGGTGCAGAACTTTGGTTGTTATGAAGAACATCAAAGTTTATATTTATTCTGGGCATAATGGCAACGAGTCACTGGTCATGTCATTTCCTGTGAGGCCTTTCACAGTAACAGGAAGCTAATGAACAAAAAAAAATGCACTGACAAAGAGGAAGTGAGCTCTTGTTTTGGTTAAGGGTTTGGTTAAGGTCTAAAAAGCTCATTTCAGAACCATCTTAAAATAAAACGCAGCATAACACACACACACACACACACAAAAAACTATATATAAAGCTACATAAATGTTTTTTGTTGAGTGTGTGCACATGCATGCGTTGTTATGTGCAATGTCTTACTTGACCCCAAATCGTTCCATGAACATGATATGGTTTCTAAAGGTCCTGTTGACGTCGAGGTCTATCTGCTTAATTTCTGTTGAATACCTCTTGGCTTGTTCCTTCATTTTCTGCAACAACATAAAAGCAAAAAAAAAAAAAAAGGTAGACAGTTTATACTTTACAGGTTTTGTGAAAAAATATGAATGTTGTTCATTCAGTAAATGTAAAAAGATGCTTTTCCAAACCAAACTGTAACATTTTAGCATTAGAATCATCAAGTAGAATCTGCCATTGGTCGGATGTACAGTTAAAGTCAGAATTATTAGCCCCCCTCTGAATTTTTATTTCTTTTTAAAATACTTCCTAAATGATGTTTAACAGAGCAAGGAAATTTTCACAGTACGTCTGATAATATTTTTTCTTCCGGAGAAAGTCTTATTTATTTTATTCCGGCTAGAATAAAAACTGTTTTTATTTTTTTTTAAACCATTTTAAAGTAAAAAATTATTATTAGCCCCTTTAAGCTATATTTTTGTTCAATTGTCTACAGACAAACCATCATTATACAGTAACTTTCTTAATTACCCTAACCTGTCTAGTTAACCTAATTAAGCCTTTAAATATCACCTTAAGCTGTATAGAAGTGTCTTGAAAAATATCTAGTATAATTTACTGTCATCATGGCAAAGATTAAATAACTCGGTTAGTAGAATTGAGTTATTAAAACTTATGTTTAGAAATGTGTTTAATTTTTTCTCTCCATTAAACAGAAATTGAAAAAAAAATTTAAACAGGGGTGCTAATAGTTCTAATTTCAACTGTATATATTGGTATATAAACTATATTTATTTAGCACTTAACCAAAAACAAAGTCAATCAACAAATGGTTTACTGATTATTATTCATGCAATGTAAACAGTGTTTTCATTTTTTTTATTTACATTTATTGTTTTACACGGTCACTAAAAATGCTGTATGAAAAGAACTCCGTATATACAAGTCTGAAACACTTTGAGTGAGCTATCCTTTAAATAAAATCCACAGAACACCTTTTTAAACCATATGTAGTAATTGCTCCATCAACTGCTACTACACACCATGGATTGCTGTTACTGACAAACATTTTGAAACAGGAACCTTGATAGCCACTGGTTTCAATATAAGAGAGACACTTCTGCTATTTGCATTTACCAGAACAGTAAACAACTAAGATAATATGAACTAGATATATTAAGAAATTCAGATAGGGATATGCTTTTAATTTAATTATAAGTACAAGAGAATCTTCAATGTATCAGAATAAAATTAGAACCGTGGTATGGTAGTAATAACACTACTGTTCAAATGTTATTTATCATTAATGATAACTATGTATTATTAATGATGGCTTAATGATAAAACCAATAATAATCATAATAATATTAAAAATAATAATAATAATAATAAAGAAAAATTATACTATTGTACAATCTATTTATTTTATTACTCTATAAAAAAGCAATGGTCCAGAAAAGAACCCAAAAACTTTTGTGAAATGTGACTGTGACTTTGATGGTTTAACTATATATATACGAAGCTCCAAGAATAGTTTTGTGTGCTTAAAAAAACAACATTGTGGCAAAACAACACTATAAACTGCCATTACAATAATCTCCTCAGTTACCGATTATGTGCTTTATTCAGTGTTAAACGCTTCCAATGTAAGTTTGAACACCATTTTATGTGACATTTATTGCCATATGACTGGATGCAGCAACAAGTGTTGTATTGCCCAAAGTAAATGCACCCTGATATAATGCTGAAAACAGACAAAAAAGTGTTACGTCCCAGGACGTATTTGTTTCTGTTTTGTATTTTCTTTCTTTCTTTCTCTGCTACACCCTAATAGGTGATGATGAACGTCACCTGCTGCCACTAATGAACCATTCAGTGATTGGAGGACGAGTAAAGTCATGGGCATTTAAGCAGCTTGTCTCCAATAGAACTGTGTGTTTTTGTGTGTGTGTGTGGAGACTCTTTTGTGAGACTTTAAAATATTCTTTGTTTACTCCTTTAAGCATTACTTGTTGATTAGGAGCTTTAATTTGTTAAAGTTCTGTTGATGCTGTTGACCATCTGATACAGCCTTTGTCACAACCTCTTTTTGATTGTAAGTTAATTTTTGTTTTCAATACTACTTTGTTAACCACTCTTTACTCTTTGTTAATAAGGGATTGTGTTAGTAGAGAGGGGGTGCCATTTTCTTTTTTGTAACAGTTTTCTCCTGTTTATGTTAGTAAGGGAGTGAACGTATGTTTGATGTATTTTTCTTTTCTTTTCTTTTCTAGATCAGTGGTTCCCAACCTGGGGTCCGCGCCCACAGGGGGAGCGCGGGAGAGGATAAGTATTGAGGTAGAAAAAGGCATAAAAATGCTCCACTATTATAAAGGGCTTTGCAATTAATCTAAAATCCGATTTAGATTTCGGTTTCAAACGATTATAAAAAAGCATTAATCGAGATAATTGATTATTGCATCATATTTCGCCACAGTTGTACACGTGTTGCTCTTAAAAGCGCGAAAGAGCTTATGTGTGTTTGCAGCACGATCACGCAGTCAGAAGCATGCGGCCGATCAGCATTCACTCTCATTCGCACACTGAGACGTGTATGGCAAGTGGATCGTGCCACTTCTCAGCCTCACATGTATGGCGTCCGGAATGGGTCAAGAGGAGCGCAGACATCTAAAGTCATCTTAACGTGAATGCTTTAATGGTCAAATAGGTGTCAAAACGCGGTGTTTAGTGATTATTTACATTAACACTCATTTGTGTAATAAACAAACGAGTTGAGGTTTAAAAGACGTGAAAGAGAAACCATTAAAGAGACAGCGCGCTATTATCCTTCTGCCGCCTGTTTTTATCATTATTAAATAAACATAACGAGAAAACCCTCGCTGCTCTTGACTAAAGCACTGCTGTAGCTAAAGTGTTTTTCTTACAGTGAAGATGCTTAAAGCACAGTTTGTTTCATATTTTTATTCTATTGTATTTATTTCTCTTTCCTTTGCAGGGTGGAAAATAACTGTATGTAAACAGTTGAAGTCAGAATTATTAGCCCTCTTGAATATAAGCAAACCTTTTCCTGCCCAATTTCTGTTTCATGGAAAGAATATTTCATTAACTTATTTCTAAACATAATAGTTTTGATATCTCATTTCTAATTACTTTTTTTTTTTTGTCTTTGCTATAATGACAGCACATAATGTTTTACTAGATATTTTTCAAAATACAAGCATTCAGATTAAAGTGCAGTTCAAAGGCTTAATTAGAGTAATATGGCAAGTCATTATAACGGTAGTTTATTCTGCAGACAATCAAAAATATATATTGCTTAAGGGGGCTAATAATATTGACCTTAAATTGGTTTCAAAATATTTAAACCTGTCTTTATTCTAGCTAAAATAAAACAAATAGAAAAAAAATATTATAGGAAATACTGTTAAAATTCCTTGCTCTGTTAAACATAATTTGGGAAATATTTATAAAAAAAAAATCTCAGGAGCGCTAATAATTTTGACTTTAACTGGCAATGGTTTTGAATAATCGTGATTACAATTATGACCAAAATAATCGTGATTATAATTTTTCCCAAAATCGAGCAGCCCTACTATTATATATATGTATTTTTAAGTACCAAAAAATAAAAAAAATAATCTAAACACATGCTTAAAATTCCAACAAAATAGTGAAAATAATTAAAATAAATAACTTTAAATAATTATTTAAATTTTGCTAACTCGCGCAATCTGCTTGTCAACGTGTCGTAAAGGCAAAATCAAAACAAAAATGGCAGACAAACGTAAATGCAGTGATTCTTCAGAGGCGAAGAAAAAGATTAGACAGTATGACAAAGCCTGCCTAAATTTTGGTTTTATTGAAGGCCAAGACAAGTTAAAACTGATTAATTAATATTTTAATATTAAAATATATATTTTCTATACATATTACTATATATTAATATTACACAAACAAACACACACACACACACACACACACACACACACATATATGTTTGTTGTTTTGGCTTGAACCCCCTCTTGAAGTTTTTTTGGAACCCTCCCTTAATCCTTCAATAAATATTTTGTTAATCTTCATTCAGGTTGCATATTTATTTTGTTTAGTCCTTTGAGAGGTTGCTCATAGGACCTCAATCAAAGGACCTCAGTGCTAACACACACACACACAAAACTCCACTAAAATTCTGTCCCCGTGTCTCCCTAGACAGAGTTAAGGGGAACATAACAAAAGTTAGTTTTTACAGTTTTTTGGCACTTGGAAAATTTTGAAATGTTTTTGATTTTCTTTTCTCAACTTTGAACGTCTCTCAGATTTCTTCTTAAATATCTTAATTTGTGTTCCAAAGATAAGCAAAGGTCTCAGGAGGTTAGAACGCAACATTTAGACACAAAATGTAATTTTTAGCTGTAACAGATATAAATACTTTAATTAAACGCAAAGCTGACTGAAATGAAAATACCACTTACTTGCATATTATTCAGTCACAACATTGCGAAACAAAGTCAAAGCGCAATACTTAAGGCTGATTTATACTTCTGCATCAAGCGCACGTGCATGCTCTGGTGCAGCCTGTGCATGGTCGCATAGCCCTCGCCGTGGCCATCACACACCTCTCAAAAAATGTAACTATACGTTGCAACGATGCATAGCGCAAGCTGTGATTAGTGTGGGCAGGGACAAGAGCTGCGTAAGCCCGATAGAGCAAGTGTTTACTAGTGTGGAGTCCCATGTCCAGATGGGAACGTTAGTTATGTGTTGACCTTGTGATTAAAGTTGTTGCATGTCCACCGGTTCCCGCCCCAAAATGAGCAAGTTTGAGCTACATGTACAGTAAGGAAGCGTTCAGAAAAAACAAAACACAAGCGAAGAAACTTGACAGAGGAACAAAAAACCTGCTGCCAGCTAGCGTTTCGGTAGTGTTATTGCAGAGCAATACAAAGCAATACAAAACAGCGCACAGAAGTATAAATGCATGGTAACGCGCATTACATGCGCCGTACGTGAGTCACACCGATCACTAAACTCAGAAGTATAAAACTGACAAACAAAACTGGCTGAATATAGCATACACTAACATACGTATTATTCAATTAAATGATGGCGCCAAACAGTCAAAAGACATAAAAATATATAAGGATGTGAATCTATTCATTGACAGTCAAGGTAATTTGAAGCATCCAGATGAACCTGTAAGAGGATCAGCATGACTTTGAATGTCACAACTGACCAATCGGAATAGAGTATTCTAGAAAGCCTTGCAATAGAATAAGTCAATAGTCAATAGTCAAACATTAACTCAGCAATCCTTATTATAAACTTTTACCCTATAAACTTTGATCCACTTTGCAGCTTATTTTAACTCTTTTTTTTTTTGGGGGGGGGGGGGTAATGGGTTTTTTTGGGGGAGGGGGGTTATGTTACAAATACAGAAGAAAACCATAGTAATAGTTGTTAGCATGCAAAGCAGCAAACAAGTGTTATGAAATAAAACACTAGTGTGCCAAAGGCTCAGACAAAACAAGTCTGGCTAATTTAAACCCAAACAATCACACAGGACAAATCAAAACCCAAACAAATGAGTCACAAAATGAATTAGCAACAAACAGGCAGTTATTCATTCAAAGGACCAACTGGAACCCAAACATATGTCACAAATATGATCCTACCTCATACTTCCTGAAGTTTGCTTGTTTCACCTTTTCCACATCTAATAAAAGAGCCCAGGCCTGACCACGTAGCTTCAAGGGAATCCCCTTGTACACCCGCTTCATCATCTGGAAAATGCACATGGGAAAAGAAAACAAACAGATGGCGAGATTTATTTTTGGATCCCCATTATTTAGGAAGTGTGTGCCTCTTTAGCCGTAGCAGACTTCACTGTAGTAAGTATTTGATTGTAATGGCAGCAAAAGCTAATTGATGCAAGACAATAATGTTAAATTATTTAATATATTAAAAACATTATACAAAATACTTAGATGTATTGTAGAGCAGCTTTGAAAGTGTCTTCTACTTAAAGGTGTAGCTATTGACTTAAGTTACCTTTTCACTATTATGATACTTTTCCCACTTTTTCACCATCTTAATCCATTTTTCCTCTCTTTCCATCTCCTGGAGTTTGTACTAAAGAAAGAGCATAATACATTTTGAATCAAATAATGCAACATTCATCGAACTGAACTGAACCAACATAAAAAATAAAAATTAAAAAAATGTATGCCTTGTATGGACAATATTTTGTATTTGCCTGTAATGTATAAAGAAATATATAAATATGGGTGATCTAAATAGTACATTTAAAAAAATAATACTCTTGCTAGTTACTGTACAGTACAAGTATAGGGTAAATACCCACAGCATAATGTATGCAACCTTATTTCCACAACAAACTTAATGGCTAAAAATGTATTAAAAAAAAAAATAAATAATATATAATATATATAAAACAAGACACTATAATGTAATAGGCTATTTAATTAATAAATAAAAAAAATTAAATAATAAAATTAATAATAATAGTAATTCCTAATCTCCTCATCTACCACCAGTGTGCAGAATCCATCTGGATAACGTGACGGCAATCCATCTGGATAACGTGATTCCCCCCAATGTGTCAAGCGCTTTGAGTGTCTAGAAAAGCTCTATATAGATGTAAGTAATTATTATTATTATTATTATTATTATCAATATACTGGGGCGTGGGCCTGCACAATGGCACAGTGGGTAGCAGTAGCACATTCGCCTTACAACAAAAAGGTCACTAGTTCGAGCCTTGGCTGGGTCAGTTGGCGTTTCTGTCTGGAATTTGCATGTTCTCCCCGTGTTTGCGTGGGTTTCCTCTGAGTGCTCTGGTTTCCCCCACAAGTCCAAAAATATGTGGTACAGGTGAACTGGGTAGTAGGGTTGGGCGATGTTGACCAATTTGGCATCATACAATATCTAATATGAAACATTGCAATAAACAATGGCATTGTCGTCATAGACTGCGGTGAATTAATTACAAATAATTAATTCATTCATAACGAATGAATCATTTGTAGCCTGATTAACACAGTAAATGAATAAAGATAAGTTACACACATAATTACCACCTGTCAATCACTTTTTCTGCGGGACTCGTGAATAGGGGTGAATAGGCAGAGTGATCTGTCATTATAATGGTTTTTGGTTTGTAAAAAGGTACTTTTTGGTCGGTAAAAAGGTGCACAGCCAACAGTATCTGAGGTGCTCGCTAAAAATACTAAATACAAGTGTGAAAGTGGAAGATTGAAGCAGTCTATTGACCCGCTGACTGCCTGGACCCACTGTGTCGAGCGCATGACAGTGTGTGTGCATCTGTGTCTGTGTGTGTGCCTGTGTGTGTATGTGTGTGGTCATGTGATGTGCGCTTTCAGCGGTAGTGTGGAAGGAGCAAGGAGGGCTGCTTAGAAATGCTAAACACCAGAGTGGATGTGGATCATTTTCGTTCTAAAATGCCATTTAAAAACTAAAACCTATTAGTGTAAACAGGGCCTGAGTGTGTATTTTTCGCGAGCGGATTTGCAGAGGGGGCGGGGCAGAGGATCACGATGCCGGCTCAGCATCATGGTGTCGTCGGCCATCGGCTATAGACGATGACATCATCTATTGGCCCAACCCTATTGGGTAGGCTAAATTGTCTGCAGTGTATGTGAGTGAATGAGTGCGTATGGATGTTTCCCAGTGATAGGTTGCAGCTGGAAGGGCATCCGCTGTGTAAAACATATGCTGGATAAGTTGTCAATTCATTCCGCTGTGGAAACCCCAGCCGAAAAGAAAATGAATGAATGAATACTGGGGCGTTAGGATCCACACAGACTGCAGATTAAGCACCCCCCCCCCCCCCCCCCCCCACACACACACACACCCCTCCGCTAGTCTCATTAGCACCTCTTCCAGCAGCAACCTATCTTTCCCATGTAGTTTCCCATCCAGGTATTGAACGGGCTCAGCCCTACATAGCTTCAGTTGGTGACCAAATGTTTATTGTTTTCATAAGAGACAAACAGCAAATCTAGAAAGTTGATATCTAATCTTACCTTCTCCTCCACTGCAGTTGGTGTTGGCAATTCCTCTTCACTGGAAAGTATAAGGGGGGAATGATAGGTAAATCTGTACTACTAAAAAAAATTAGGTTTATTTAAAAAAATCTATTTTTAATTTTACTGCTAATCCATAAAACACACTGGTCACACATAAAAATATTCACCATTAAAAATTTTAAAATGTATAAGGTTGCAAAGGGGCAGAAAATAAATAACAAAACAAATTTCCATGGGAACTTAGTCTCAGGAATTTTCTAAATATTTTTGAAATTTGAAATTAACTAGAAATGTATATAAACTCTATATACAAACTATAAACATTGATCATCAGCTGACATGCACACAAAAACTAATACTTATTAAAAAATGACATTTTTGACTGATTTAATTGTAAGTGGAACTTTACACTTTAAGGAAATCTTCTTAAGTGTTGAATGTAAGAAAACATATTCCCTTAAATTTGTTGTAAAATGAACAAATACCCCACCCTTCCCTAAATATCAAACTTACTTGAATTGATATAGGATTTGGGTTCAAACGCAGAAATGCAGCTTCGATATTCTTTTTATATTCAGATATTAAAGCAGTAGCCTATAGCACAAGTATGTTTTATGGTAAAAAATAAATGTATGTAATTTAAACAGACAGATGGCCGTTTTTTGTGTGCAAGATTCAAGAAAATATCAGGCTGATTTATACTTCTGCATCAACATATTTTTTTTCAATTACAATTGAGTACCCTGTCACAGACTAACCTTCATTATATTAAACTCAGTTTACTCCCTTTAATTTCAGTTAATTCCCATATATTCCAATGGAAAGTTACCAGCCTTTAAAAAATCCAAACTACCCAGAACTTTGCAACTATATATATATATATATATATAAATAAAAGACAGTTCAGAAGTCATCACTGATAACTATGGAGCAAGGTAATTTTGCTAGCCTTTGTGGTAAAACTGCATGGAATGGCTAGACTTACTGCAGGAACCCGAAGCGGTCTGTGAACTTAAAGATGCTGTAGTCTCCATCCTCCCAGGGGTTAATGTGCACACCCTCCTGCCTGCCCTGTAACCAAACCAACTAAAAAGCTGACAACCACAATATAACATGACAAAATCAAACACAAAAAAGCACGGTCACACTGCAAATGCTGCAGACTGGAAAAGCAAGCTTATACAACATATTTCAAATGCCACTGTGATGGACAGTTCAAGTTTGATGGACTATGACCTGCAATTTTGCATCACGTGAATTCGCGAGGACAATAGTAGTTCAAAGTGTGGAGAAAATTTAGAATATAGAGCAATTGTTTGTTTTATTAGTTTCACATCCTCTTGTTTTATCCAGCCCCTTTTTATGGCACTGTCCGTCAGAATTTCGCATGCTCAAATTCAGTGACCATGACTTTAGACATTTGATTTCTATCTGATAAGAGTTTATAACAAAATCCACATATGCAACATAAGTTAAGGAATGATACAAAAAAACAACAACAAGAAGAGAACCCACAATATCTTGAAACAGACTGACATGTTTGTTTGTCTAAACGAAACACTTTAGCCCAATTCCAGTTCCACCCCTACCCCTTACTCTTATCCCCACCCCTGCATTTGCATGTTCACATGAAGGAGTAGGAGTGTCCCAATTCTCCTCAGCTTGAAGGCGTAGGGCTAAGGGAAAGGGCTAGATACCCCTTGAAACAAAGATTTTTCAGGACCACAGTCGAAACTAAGGGGCAAGAAAATTTCCCAAAATACAAATTTAACAATGGCAGCATGGCTGCACATAGAAAAAAATATGATCGTTAATCTATTCTCAAAGTTGGATTGAGAGCTGGGTCTATTCTACGCAGGCTATGATGACTTTCACCTTGGTATTTTGGCGCAGATACCTCCGGTGAGCCGTCTGACAAAAAAAGTGCCCTTCTGCATCAAATCAGCAGTATGCCTGACTTTAACTGCAGTTCGGCAGTTTCACTTTAACTCATGAACATTTCATTCATCCCCCATGACAAACTGGGGTATTAGATGCAAATAAGGACGGAGTAAGGACTGGTGAAAGTGTTATGGAATTTAATAATGCACGCCAAATGGAAAGAAAAAAACTTTCGTATTTCACAATGTGTGTGTGCGTGCGGTCCAGTGCGGTCCTTTACTGACAGCTGTGTGTGTGGATCTTGTCGGAAAATATGGCAAAAAGTCCCACTGTACATGACGGTAATAGTTTGATTGCGGTGTTTACTTCAATAATGCTACTAATTTATGCATACTCCACATCTTAATTCCATTATTGTTTAGTTCAGTTATAACTTTAGTCAGATTAAGGTGATCAAAATCGCTGTTTCAAGCTTATGTAGGCCAAAATTCATCTTGAACTGAATAAACAGTTAATAAACACAAGTACATCTTATTGAACATCACTTATTTTCATCAACAATTATCATTATCATAGTTTCTCAAGCAGTTTGTGATGAATTTCAGAAACAGGAGATGAGAAACCCCTTATCTAATGTGCCACCTGGCATGAGAAACCCATTCTCAAAGACTTAATATTTGGGTAGCACACATATTCTGAATGCCTTCGGCAGAATTCAAATGAACCATTTTAATCTAGATTATTCCAGATTAATTTCAAGATTACCCTGCCAGAGAAGTCTAGTGGCTGGAAATGACTTTTTTTTTACAGTGTCTGTTATACTGTTAATGTTGTTTTTGGTGTTAACATAAAATATGGCCACTGTGTAAATGCATAGTACAGTTACAATCTTATTGCCACATTATATCGTTATGACAACATGTGATATGCCTTCAGTGATTTCATAAAGATAAATACCAAAAAATAATGCAATGATATGATGACGTGTGCAGGTGTTGTAGTGCTCGCCCATTTCTTAGGGGTAAATTTTGAAGCCCTTCCCCTTCACACTCTGTTTCAAGAGCCAGTGGGAAGGGGTAAGGGTACAAAAATAGAATTGGGATCGGGCCTTTATCTTTAGACATGACACAAAGGTAATTGAAGTACACTGAACATTTCCATGACTGTAGTATGAATTTGGGTTTAGTAAGACATCCAGCTGTTGTCCATCAAAAAAGGGGTTCCCCTTTAAGAAATGTTACCTCTGGCCAGAAACTTACATACTTCTCAAATTGTATAAGTAGGTATTAAAAGGAACAAGAGTATAGTTCCAAGAAATTTCATAATAATTTCATTTTCCATTGGTCTTGGACAGGGGTGCACTAACTTTTTCTTATAAAGGACCAAAAACCAAACTTGAATGGGGCTAGTGGGCAGGTAAATATAGTTGTAATGGGTAAATTCCTAATTTTTTACACAATATTTACAAATGAATAGAAAACATACTTTATATTAACTAATACAGCATTTTATTTTTGCATTTTATATTGAACTTATTACAGTAAAAATAAAATCTCATTTATAACCAAACTACATTAATTTTTTGCCTTTAATTGCATGCCTAAGTCTTCTGCATAGTCCTTTATCCATCGAGACATTATTTACATTTTATAAAACCAGATTGGTTTAAAACATTTAATTGAAACATTTAATTTCAGTTTGGGATTTTTTTTTTTTTTTTTTTTTTTGTAGCTCAGCAATAAAACAACAAAAAGTTATGTTAAATTAGAAATGAAGATTTCTGTGTTAAAGTCAACACAGAGATTCCTCAACCCTCTCCATCATACTTACTCTCCTTAGATGGTGGGCCGAATTAAAGGTTACAATGGGCCAATTTTGGCCTACGAGCCCTACTTTGGGCATCTCTGGTCTTAGTGATATAATGACACTAATAATTTTTTACAAAATTCTTTGGTAACTTTTGAGTGTGATGTTAATGGTTTAATCCCATTCGATTATCTATGCTAAGTTAAGCTAACAGTGCTCCCGACAAAAATGGTAGAACTAAACTGTTTAACTCTAGGTCAGTTGTAAAGGTGGAGTAAAAAAAACAAGTGGAGTGTTCCTTTTTAGGCTTGTCTGGACCCGCTGCTCATACAACATTCTGTCAATTTATCTGTGGCTACCCTAAGTTACCTTCAGTACTGTCTATGAAATTCCACAACCAGTTCACACACCAAAATGTCAATTAATTGAGCAATTTAACAAACAAATAAAATAAGAATTGTGACCCAATTTACATGGAGACCTTACAGTAAGCACTATTGTGACCACCACATACTGTATACTGTACTTGGTTTCAAATTGACTATTCTTTTTAATCATTATACGTAATGTTTTATGTCTCTTCCAACCTGAAACATATCCTTAATATTCACCTTCATACAAAATCCGCCACCTTGCAAAGATCAGTAAAATGCAGCCATTTTTAATGTGGTGTGGTCTAAATTATAAATATCTGGGACTGTTGATCCCTAAGATTTCCTCTCTAAGAGAACTGTCATTGTGGATACGGAAGATTCATTAACTAGTTCCCCTTTGTCTAGATCTATATACATTTATTTTTTTTTTTTTTTAAAGTTAAAAACGTAGGTCAACACTATAGAAAGTCAGCCAGTATGCAACTTAAAGGATGTGCTGTAACTTGCCTTCTCATATTTTTCAATGATGTCAGCCCGTTCTTCTGCTATTAGCGTGTCGATGTCCTTCTTCATCTCAAAATCTGGAAAAGGAACAAAACAAATTGTCAAATGGATGAAAACAAGTTTCCGAAGGTCGCTGAATATGACAAACTGCCCTCGACTGATCCTCCTCCGGGTCTGTTTGGCTAAGACGCATGAAAAGGATCGGAAGCTTCTACATTCCAGCAATATTACAACATTTATCCGAGTTCTGCCTGAAGCGAGAAGACATCCATTTGAGGTGAGGTTGAACAATTACCACGGGCCAACAACAGACAAGTGATGTTGTGTCAGGTAATTCATCAAGTACTGTTGTTGCACACACACAAAGTACTGTAGGACAATTCAGCCATTGCCCTTATATGTAGAAGACCCAATGCATGGTTAAAACAGACTAAATAAAATTAAGCAGTAATATTTTGAGTCTGTGGGGTGGTTAATAATAGTAAAATAACTTTAAATGAATGATTGTAGCTTTAAACTAGGGCTGTAATATTAATAATATAAAGTTGCAATAACTTTGATTTATTTTATGTGCCAAGTAAGGGTTGTGATAAGACACTTATTCCATGAGACCACCACGCTAACATCATAACTCACTACGCAACTTATCACCTCAATAAGAAATCTCGTCGCAATTTAATTCTCGTAACACGAGATCTCGTCACAACCCAATGCCAAGCAATTGTGTATTGCATGCATAGGATGTTATGTTATGCTAATGGCTAGACCAACCATTTTCAATATATTTAATTTACAAAGTTTTTAAAGGCACATCACAGCTATATAGTTTCATATACTGGCAACATTTGAATCATTAAACAATTATAAATATTTGCTAGATTGTTCTTAACTTTAATATAGTTTCTTACAGTGCATTTTTGACAGAACCCTTTCATTTTAAGCACACATTATTAGTATAATAATATAATTATCTTCGTAATATTGCACACCTCCATTCACCTCTCACCCTAACACAGTACTGTCAATTTTGTTCCCTTGTTACCTCCCACATTGACTATTCTAATTTAGTTTACCACATAAATCTCTTTACCAGTTGGTTCAGAATTCTGCTGCCCATATTATAACCAGGACTCCATCCATACAACATGCTACAGCAATTATACATTACTTACTAATCATGACTAATAAACCCACAGCTATGAAATCGTCTCATGTAAACACGTAAAAGTTTCTTCTTTGTATTTCTGAAAAATTTCACATACAAACGGCTACAAAATGAATTCCCCCATTAACAGATTTGAGATATGCAACTAAAAACGCTGTGTTCTGCATGTCAGGCATCTACAGCAGGTCTGTTGCCTGCTCAGCACCATGTGTTGACGTCTGTGGGTTCACATTCTCTGTGGACAGGTGGAACTTTTACAACCTCTAGTTCACCAGACAACTGTTGTGCTGAGACACATGGGCACCTTGCTGTTAAACCACCTGTGCTTTTCAAAACATGCGATAATATAAATGGAAACCAAAGTTTCCCTTTCAAACTTTCCTTCACTTACAGAAAAATGTGCAAAAATAGCATGTTTGTAGATACAACAGCTTGTACTGTTAAGAGGCAACATTGCACAACTTTTTAAAGGGAACATACCATATTCATATTTAAGGTTTAATGTGTACCACTTAAAAAAAAAACTTAAAGGTTGCAATGTTGTGACTAAGTAGAATGTATAATCTCCTTATATATTTAACCCTTTTATTGTTCAACTTAACCACCCTTCTGTTATGCTAGTGACTGTTTTTGCCCAATTGACCTCCATTATAACAACAGTTTTTCATCGCAAAGCCTTGACACCAAAAAATTAAGCGTTTTTGATTGTTGGTGGTTTTCCCTGTTGGGAAGAGGTAAAATTTGTCATTTTTACGGTTGATCATCATACTGTTGGCACCATTAACCCTTTAGATAGGCTTGTACAAAAAAGGTTTTATGGAGGTTATAGGTTTTAAGTTTTATATGGAGTTTTATGGCGTAAAACAATAAAGTGTGCATGCAAAAATACACTTACTATGTTTACTATGTTCTAAGAGCTGAGTTTAGATTGCAAAGGTGCTAATTTAGATTTTCGCAGACATATCAAGAAAAGTGCGCAAAGATCTCTCTCATACACAAACACACCTTATTAACTGTGCGTTCACAACGAAAGCGGGAAAGAGCTTCAAAGTAGCCGGAAGTCATTTGTATTGAATGGGACCTGGTGGCTTTAAGCAGCGACGAGCAGATCGGTGTGTGTTCGCCGATGTGGGCGTCGAGGAGAGTTGATAAAGTCAATTTAATGGTAATGTTGAAGTCCACCGCTTCAGAAGATTCCAGAGAACACAGTCCTGTGAACTTTGGTTCGGACCACAGTTGTTCCCAAGGGTTTGATAATTGCACTTGACTAATTTCCATTGTTTATGTTTTCTCACAGTAACATACATTATAACAGTTACTGTCGAGTTACTGATGTGCAATAGTGTTTTAAACTTTTCTTTAAAAAGCAGGAGTCTAATGCTAACTATAATGACAGTACAAAACAGTATTGCTGCTTCAGAACATTTCAGACATATGGACACATTGGATAAGTGGAGCAAAGCCACATCACACGCAACAACTTATTCTTCCATAGTTAAATGCATTTGATAAAAAGTGTACAACATTTTCACACTAGAAAGCATGCTTTTTATATGGTAACGTAACTGATTTGCTGATATTCTGCAACTGCCCCTTTAAATATGACATCCATGTAGTGAATTTTGACTATCTCGCTGGTGAAGCTAGGAAGGCAGACAACATAGACATCAGGGAGACCAGAGCAAATTTTGTACACAGTACTAATTTTACTTCTTCCAACAGGCAAAACCATCAACAATATTGACCGTATTCTAAAATGTGGAAGTGCGCCTGTTTTCGTGATTGTCTTAGAACTTCCGATTCAGTGAGAGAAATGACTAGGAATAATAAACGGCAGAAAACGGTCAAACTACTTGCTCTACAAACAAATGTTTGCATGACTATACAGACCAAGTAGAATAATATAATAAGAAAATATCAAATTGCAACATCAAGCAGCGTAATGAGCAGTTTTTAACGTCAAAAAATTAATGGAAGTGAATGAGACCGGAAGTCTCAAGCCAAAAAGATTCAAATGGCGGCACCCGCTCGTCGGTGGAGAATAAGGTGAATAGAATATAAAACAATATGGTGTCATGGCTTTGCAATCCAAAAATGTCATTACAATAGAAGTCAATGGGGTAAAAGTGGTCACTAACAAAATGAAAGGGTAGTAAATTGGCCCAGAGAGTGTCTTGTTGAGTTTTTGAAAAAATTCAAAGCATTTTCCTATCAAAATAAGATTTGTCACCAAAAATCGTTCCATTTGCTGAAACAGAGAGAATGTTGTGGACAAATGTAGACTAAAAGTGATAATTATTATTATTATTATGTTTAAATTTGTTATTATTGTTTTTTTTATTATAATGAGAATTTACTTTGCTTAATTTACTATTTTTTTTTTACTTAAAACCTTAACAGATTATTTTTCCCCCAATGACATATGATGTGATAAATTAGTACTTTAAAAATACTACACATAAATAATACAAGCTAGTCCAGCTAAAAACAGTGCTTTTAAATGTCACTAAAAGTATTTAATCAGTATTTAAACCTCATAGTTAAATAGACAATGAGGCGAATAAGGTCTACTTTTTGAGAAAAAAAAAAAGAAACACCTCTTTCACCAGGCTGGCTACAGGTCTGCCTTGTCTTAGTAGCACTTTTTGTTTGTTTTGGCTTTTCGTATTGAATCACCGAATGCCTCATTTGTAAGTCACTTTTGATAAGAGTAAATAATATATTACTAAATGTAAAGTAAATGTCTATCACTAAAATCACTAAAGGCACTAAATTCATGTTTTCTGAACGCATTTTATGATCCTAACTAAATGTGAGTAATAACTAGATACAGTAGCCCACTGAATAAGCTATTAAATAGCACACTTTTACACAGTATTACAAACTTAATATACTTTTATGTCATTCAAAATAAATTTGATGTCTTTTAATCGTTTTTGGATCAGATAAGTAAACGTTTTATGAGCTGCCATGGCATTATTCAGTATATAAAAAGGAAGTTCTGAAGTTCTAAAATACCTTGTTGTCAATGACACTATCTTAAAGGAATTGAGTCACTCGTAATAGTTTCTTTTTTGAACACAAAATAAGATATTTTAAGGAAAGCTGAAAACCTGTAATCAATGACTTCATTAGTAAAAAATCAAATACCTCAGTGCTGTGTTGAAGCACTTAAACTACTAGGCTATTGGTGCCGATCAAACAAATAAATGAGTGCGTAAATGTTGACAGATTGTTTTTGGTGAACTATCCCTTTAATAATATAATATATTTAATGATATTTATATGTCAAATGATAATGATGAACTGTCTAATTCTAAGGACTAAGATCTTCTTTTTCACCATGCTATAGGAAAAAGTTTCTTTGAAAAAAATTAGATCTACTATAAGCTGACCAGGGAAAACAGGTCAAAGCTAGCAAGAGCATTATTTATTTACCACAGTCTCAGGGAATGTAATGGCTTGACAGAAACAGTGTCTATGCTGCCGACGTCTGCATAAATATATTCATCCTTGTAAAAGAAAGAAAAAAAAAACTAGCAGAATTATTGAAAACCTTTGCAAATATGAACAAATAATCTTCTACTTAAACAACAATACTAATAATATTACTACTAATAAAATACTACAAAAATCTAAAAAACTACAAAATGTAATAAATAGAAACGTTTTGTCCAATTTATGGTGGATAATTTCTAGCTGGATACTTTTTGAAGCTTCTGTTTTTTTAGATAAATACTAGCATTAAAGGTCCTGTGAAGTGATTTGAAATGTGCAATTTTATTCAACGTTTGATTATGTCAACGTCTCAACATTTGATTATGAAGTGAAACATGAAAAGGGGGGAACATACAGCTCCTGCCCTTTTTAAAAGACAGCCAATATCATTTTGTTTTATCACAGCTCTGCTTG